GGGGGCAATTTTACTAAATTGTACGGATTGAGCTATAACGAGTTGAAAAGCGCGTGCTCAAATTAAGTCTACTTTGGGGCGTAAATTAAGATCGAGGGCATTATAAGACATTTTTCTGGTACGTTATTGGATAAAAATACATTCAAGTCAAATTCTGTGCGATACCACATGCATCATCGAAAAAATCTCCCCTTTTTCCTTAGTTTTGGGCTGCGCGCGGTTTATTGTCAAAGGGTCCTAAATAACCGTATTTTTCAGCATAGTGACGTGAAAACGAGCACAGTGACGCCCCACTTTTTATTTCTTTTTTAATCATCTTAACTTGTTACGTCAGTGTACCAAGTTTCATCTCAATCTATGTTACAGGTGTAGGTTCTTTTACTAAGGAATCACCTTAAGCATATCATGTGTAAAACGCATGTTAGGAAGGCCTTATTCTACACCCTAAAGTTAAGAGAAAAATTAATAGCGGAGCTCCACGCGCGCGTACCCCAATAGCCAAGAAAATCTATCTTTCCGAGAAAATTTGGTAATCAAGTGACCTTAAAGCGCCCGACCGCCCGACCGCTCGTCCGCACCACAGGCTTGCCAATGTAAAATAACTCAATCAACAGGTATGGCAACCCAAATGCAACTCGAGGTTATTTTGGCGGGAAATCGCATAGCCACACACGTCTTTTGAAGTAGAGACAACTAAAGAGCCAATAAAGACGAAAACGGAAAGCGGAAATTGTTTCTGTTTCCGTGTTGTCTAAAGTTTTAAGCTTAGATCAATTGTCATGTCCACAAATTTGGAATATAGGGCAGGAGAAGGACAGAGAAAAAGAGAAAGTAGGAGACAGACCAGCGAAGCTCAACGAGAAAAAGAGCAGCATGGAGCTAGAGCGAGAGATAAGGAGCCATTTATTGTTGAAGAACGACATGAAAATTTTGTAGCGGCGGTGACAAAAATTAATGAGAAATCCTAGCGGCCACCAAGGTGAAAATGAGCGGCAGTAAAAAAAAAAATAAACAAAAAAAACACGTACGACATTCCCTCCATAAAACGCGTAACTGGGAAGTTTTACGTTGTCGTGCAAAACAACGGCAAAGAAATGTACAAAAAAAAATGTGCTGCACGTGCAAAGATGTGTTTTTGCTAATTAGACCTATTGTTGTTTTGTCATCGTTCTCTTTGCCTTCGCCTCTTAGCATGACACGATTCTATAACTATTTTGCTTGAGCAAACTATAAATATTATCGTGAGCTTTACTTTTAGCCTTGGCTAAATCTATATAAACCTATCTTGAATTAAATTGTTGGAGAACTGTGATCATCTCTTACTTTTTGGAGCATCTACAGTATGGTATCACAGATGTCATGTCAGGCGTGTTAACCCATTGAGCCATAAGCTTATGATGTGTGAACTTTTAAATAAAATCTCTTAAATTATGAATTAACACGTAAACCCTATGAATCTTCTCTAGAATTATATGCTATTTTTTGTCTTTTAAAATCACCCTCTAAGGATTTAGGACTTAAACCAGATATAATATAGTAATGTGTGTATATTATAAAATTAAGTCTGTTAAACTTAATTTCTAATTCTTGACTACAAACCTGTTATCATTGTTAGTTTGATGAAATCCTTAGCTTGATGAAATTCATAGCTTCATGAATTCGATGACACTAAAAAGATAAAAATAATAAAACAATAAAACCTAGGCTTTCAATGTGATCACCCAAAGGCCACAAAACTCTGGTCACATTCATGAGAAGGTCATATCAATAATGTCGCAGATAGGAGGAGATCAGTACAGCATATTGTAATTCGTTCAAAATATTCCTCTGATTCTGATAAGCTTATATTCCCTGGCTAATTTGTCATATTAATAACCCTTATGGATGTTTACGTTATACGAGTAAATTTCACCACCAGGTTCTGGCTGTCATTTTATTGGCTGGGAGGGTTATCAGAAGCTCATGTTTTAATCTTTTAAAATACATTTGTAAAAATTCATTAAATTGTTATTTAAAAACATTTTGAATTTTCTCTCGAATCATTAAGGAGATTTACATGAACTATGAAGAGAAGAACACAAAACACTGTGTGTGGAATGAGAAGATCGTGTGTAACGCATACAAATGATCAACCTTGGACTAAAAATGATTAAGTATCTATTCATGCCATTTTTGTCTTAGGACTGGCAGCTGCATGTTGATCAGCCCATCCATCTGATAAAAGGGCTTATCCACTTTGCAGTCACTGTGGCTTATTCAGGGGGAAGAGTTAGCCTGTCAACAGGCTGCCAAGTGGAGTGGGGAGAAAAAGAGACAGGACCAGAGCTCCCCCATCTCCTCTTCTTCCACTGCCCATTCTCAGCTTGCCTCACTCGCCAATTTTCCTTTTTGTCCCACACCCCTCGGGAACCTGTTCACAGGCTAGGAGAGGGTCATAAGGATCTAGATCTCCCTAAATACTGTATATCCATCAGAAGCACTTGCTCAGAGTTGCCACAAATTGAATACCACATTACTGCAGGTATTTTGAGGGTATGGGGCTAAGGCCCGGTTCACACACTGAACTTTTCATGAACCAAACCTTATTCAAATTAACGCCCACCCAAATTATTTAGACCATCTGAACTGACTCAGACGCTGACCATAATTCAAGATGAACAAAACTAAAAAAGTAAAAAATGCTCATTTTGGTCAAACTGCTTGCAAAATACATTATATTAATTTATGCAGTAGGTTCGGGACATGAAAAGTCCGGCCTCCGAATCAATGTTGTTCCAAAGACACTCCAAGAGGAAAGCCAAAATTCCTGGCTGCCCTACTGGGGAAGAATGGCTGAGCCATTCCAAATTGAAATAAGTCCCTAACTGATTCAGATGCTGAACTTTTCACGTACTTAATGTATTAGGCTTGGCTCGTGAAAAGTTCAGAGTCCGAACCAGGCCTTAGTAATAGAAACCAACGTGTAATAAATTGCAATTGAAGGAGGGAAATTATAGGCTTCCACTCAATCAATCAATCAATCAGTCAATCGTTTATTTATCCACGTAACGTCTAGTGGGCTAAAAAGCTCTTTCAAAATAAAAGGGGTAAAGTTGGACCCCCTTGAACAAAAATATCTGGATCTAACCCTAACCTAACCTAATATGACCTGCTATATTTTTGACAGATTGCAGAGTTCACGTATTCCTTCTCTATAGTGACAGATTGTAGAATTTGCCCCTTTTTGTAGTGTATGATTATTTTGTTCCACCACTCTCTCTTTGCCTTTCTCTGAGTGAATACATTACTAAAACTGTTCATGATACATGTAAGCCTGACACCAGAATTTAAGACACCATTGCTTTCAAAATAGTGTCTTACATGTTTTGCTTTCAGCAGATGTTCACTCTTAACTTTAAAACACTTTGACTTTAAAACTTGAGACCACTTGAAGCGATAAAGTGTTCCCGAAGGAAACCTTTTTTGGGGGACCACTTCCAATCGACAGATTTGCCGTACGTTTGCACAAGCTTTTAGTGCTATATAATTGTACTGAAAAGATTTGCTTACCTTTCCTTTAACACTGTGATCCTCGTACGTAAGCTAAAGTGGAACTTGAGAAACCCGCCGCCATTTTGAAAAGAACAAAACAACTGGAGCCCAGGTCACGCTTGTGATGTTTGTGAACGGTTACCAAGCTTGCTTAAATGTGGTCCCTAGTCCCTCGTCAACTGGACAGCTGTAATTTTCATTATTTCCTGTTTTTTGAAACGAAAGGCTTTTATTCCCTTGTCAAAAAACGGGAAATAATGAAAACTACAGCTGTCCAGTTGACGAGGGACTAGGGACCACATTTCAGCAAGCTTGGTATACTCGTCAAGCATTTCGGCTTAGCAGGCGCCAGTTTTTTAGGGCGAAGAAAAGAATTCAAGGATAGGTGCACACACGAGGGGAGAAAAGGGATTTTCCCCTCAGGCGTTTTGTTAAAACTAACCGGCGCCTGCCACGCTCGCGTGCTAGCCGCATTTGAATTCTCTGCATTGCGTGGGGCTCTCACTGAAAATTGGATAGAATAATAGGACAGATAAGCCCACCAAAGAAACAGATCTACTTTCTAGTTGTCGATCCATGCCAGTCATACTTACTTTAGTATGTCAAAATATCATGAACTCTCCATGTTTTCTCTCGTGCTCTGGGTCATGAAAATGCGCGGTCTTCCTCCTTATCTGAAACTGGGTTGCGGAAGTTTGTCCTCCTTTCAGACAGTTTTCAGACTAGGAGTGGTTGCCTATAAACCTGCACTCCATATCTCCTAGAAATGAAAAAACAATGCTCAGTGATCATGGTGGAGTGCAATCGAGTTTCACCAAGGCTCAATGCTTCACTAATATCTGTTGTGAACTTGTACACTTAGTGATAAGGCCTTTTTTGGGGGGGACAGGCGAGAAAATCGCGCGGAAGGAAAATTAGGGAAATTGCACTAAGGCTCTCTTTCCAGTGCTCCCCGCGATGTATCCTTCCTTTCCCCTACTGAGCGCCATTTCCTGCCCTCTTCCTTAGAAAAGATCAGAGAGCGTGTTCAAGGGCTAAATTTGTCAAAAGAGAAACAAAAGACAGAAAAAAATGTTGGGTTATTATTGCCCATCACCTAAATTACCGAACGAAATGTGTTAGCGATGCTATCCAGATGTCCTCCACACGCTTATCACTGTCTCATCATTCGTAGTCCTTGTCGATCTCATGATCTCCAAGACTGTTGAGACTGAGAGCAGTCTCTCTTTTTCTTCAGATTATGTGAGGGGAGTGCACGCGCGTGGTCTTTTGCGTGTCTCGCGTGTTTTGCTCGACGGACTAAGAAGAAAAAAAGACTGCTCTCAGACTGTATCTGTTCGGCAGTTCTAATACTCATGATGGCGTGACAATCTGCGAGTGACATCTACGTCCTCATTGCCTTTAATTGGATTAAGCTCCGCAGTACGTCATCGCACCCCATTGCTAAAGGAAGCTAAAACGCTCACGTTTTTGACGTTTCAGTTTAAAACAAAGCATTGTGAAAGTACTACAAATTAGGGGAACAAAGGTTCATTTAAAGACGGTAAGTTACGCTAAATGTATCTAATATGTCAAGCTAGGACAATCGCCAAAATGTCACCAGTTAGAGCAATACACGGATACGGGATATTGTAGATTGCTTATGTTGTCGTCAGACTACTTAAAGGCTTTTTTTTAAGATAAGCTCTCGATAGTTTCACTAATTGTTATATATGTACTTGAACGAAAGCGAAAAAGGCAAAATCGGGTGATTCATCCAGCGTGTGACTAGTAGTGATCGAAGACAAAACTCATCAATGACAGTAACATACGGTATGCATTAAGTGATTAATCATGTGGAAACCATGATTAATGTAATTCCCCTTCCTCGATTCGTTTTATGTTTGTTTATGCAGGTAGGCTCGCTGTTGAAAGATATTGATCTTATAAGATTCTTACTGAAAACATTTTATTCTGGGTAATTGTATTGAACATTAATTACTAAGAGCAAGTTATCAATTCCTTATACTGTAAGGTATCCCCCTCCGTCTCTTCTCTTTGTTTGTTCCCGGAGAGGTATAAGTTAAAACAGTTTCGGTTTAAAAAAGCTTACAATTTGGTTAGTTCTTGGATAAAGATTTTCGGCGACGCAATTGTTTTCTTTTACGAGTATTCGTCCCTTAAAAAAGCACACTTTGAGTGATTTTAAGCAGCTAGTGGGAACATTCATTACAGTGTGTTTGCAGAAAATAGGATATCATATTTGGGTTCAGGTCGCAGCTGTTTTTCCGGGATAAGACAACCCCCTCCCCACCCCCATCCGTGTGCGCTGTCAACATGATAGCATTTTTCAACGCAAATGTTTGCTAAACGTTAAAAAAAATGCTAATTATAGGACGTGAACGTTTGCTGCAATGGATATTTTTATTTTGTATCTTTGCTTTGACAGTGATTTTTTGCACACAACATTTTCTAATCGAATCGGACTGAAAGTAGTTGTTAAGTAAGACTGTGTTAACAGAGTAGAAGATATAACCATGGATTATTATTGTAATTTTTACAGAACTTAAAAGCATGGACTTTTCACCTCTTCTACTTGTTCAAGCACTCTTAATTATGGGGGTCTTTATAGACATTGTCGATGCAGGTAAGAAAAATATGATACAAGTAAAGAGCCAAAAATGAATCCGGATTAGTATGTATTTGACGTTAACAATCACTTAATTATTAAACCAAAGTCCTGGGGGTACTCAACAAATTTTTACGGAGAGGCTTCACACTGAGGTCCGACCTCTTACAGGCTTTTACATACTATTTTTGGACGAAAAGGTACCCCTTTCGTAAACCTTTTGTTAACAAATGGTAACCCTTTCACATACCGTAAATGATCTATTAAACGCCCTGGGCGTTTATTAAATTTCAGGGATCCAAGAGGGAGCGTTTAATAGATGGGAGGCGTTTAAAAGAGAGAGGCGTTTATTTTTGTAACTTTTAATACAATATGCTTTCGGCCAAAAACGTATGTGCGTTAACAGAATCTCGACTGCAGGCTGACGGCTTTTGCACTCCAAGGTTTCTAGTGTAATTTTTTTCTCTTTTGCTACAATTAAGAGGGTACGCACCGAGATCAAGAAGATCAAAGAGCGCTATCCTTACTTTGAACTTGAAATTGAACATGACATAATACACAAACCGATGTTAATCAAACAATGAAATTAATAAATTGATTGATTTTGCTCTATTTTGCCATTTCCTAGTATTTTGGAGCAATTTTCACGGGGGGCTGTTAGCCCTTTTGGGTATTTTTACTCACGGATTTCGCTACCCCGTCATTATCTTTAACTAATGACATCCCACCCTTTCTAATACCTGAAGCCTAAAAAGAAACCCCTTTCGGGTGGAGGCTTCCCGTAAAGGCCATCATAGAAAGTACGGTACCAGCAAAATTACTCGTGGACCGTTCACAGTTCCCTATTTTCCCGTAAGATCGTCGAGATCGAGCGCTTTACGTAATGGTCGGCCATCTTGGTTTCAAATGTTCGAAGTCTAGCCCAAATGAGTGTCAAATCTACTTAGAGGATTGGGAACGCACGCCGGTACCTTCGGTACATTCGAAACCAAGATGGCCGTCAGTAAGGCAGAGCACTCGATCTCGACGATCTTAAGGAAAAAAAAGAGGGACTGTGAACAGTCTAAGTGACTCGTTGTTTGAAACTGCTTAACTGACTTACAAAGTGTTTCTTTTCAGTTCCTGCGGCCCAGAATTGTACGTCTGCTCCATGTCAGCACAGTGCACGATGTTTGGATAACAAGAACACCTCAGGATTCACATGCGTCTGCTCATCAGGGTACTCTGGTCAACGCTGTGAAATTGCCATTAACCAATGCGCATCCAATCCCTGCCAGAATGGGGCTACTTGCATTGATAGCGTCAACAATGTGACATGTACTTGTGCAAAAGGCTTTACAGGTATAGTGCTGACTAAAAAGGCCCGTCCACAGGGATAATTTTGAAAACGGACATTCTTTTCTCTGTTTTATCCTTCCGTCGACACGTAAAAAAATGCTCTTTATTTGAGTGTCAAAGTATTTTGCGCGAAAGTGCTAATTGGGGTCACTATTTTTCGTCTCCAACTGGTGGACCGCCATTTTACATGGTAATCCGAGCCACGCGAAGGTCTACCCGCCAGCAGTGCAAAGGGAGTACCTTTATTTCTCAGCTATTTTTATACCATGAGTATTGGTCCGGCCACGGGAATCGATCCCCCGACCTCCCGCTCTGCAGTCAAGCGCTCTACCGACTGAGAGCTAATCCTGCCGCGGTAAGCTTAAGTAGGTTGAGTACGATCGTCCGGGTGAACTTAGGCCTGAACAGGACGGTTGTTGTTGACAGTGACTGACACTTTGACAACCTGTGTGGTAGTCATCTTCATCGCGTCAGTTGACGGCATTAAACTCTGATCAGGTGATAGTGTTGTTTTAGTGACCAGAAATCATATCATCTTGGCGTTACCCCCGAAAGCGATACCTTTTCGGCTTCAGGTACATGAAAGGGTAGGGGTTTCAATAATTGAAGTATGTGAAGGCGTAGGAAAATCTGTCATTTCGTTCTGTACAAGAAGGATTTTATGGTTGTGAAAAAGTGGAGAAAATTTTGTGACTTATTCATATTTAAAAGCAAGTGTATTTACAACAGTTAAATGGGATGCTATGTGAAAGAGGTACCATTTGTTAATGAAAGGTATACGAAAGGGGTACCTCTTCTTTCGAGAATGTTATATAAAAGGGTATAGGGATTAGGCCCCGGAGCGGAGCCTCCCCATTTAGAACATTGTTGAGTACTTCCTGAGGTCTTTCTGTTGATAATAGGAGCATTTTGTGAAAGAACGCGAAGAAGACGCTGTGGTGATCCCCCTAGTATAGCTAATGGATACGTCAAGAGGAGTAAGACACTTGCGCTTTACAGTTGTAATAAAGGTTACAGAGCTATTGGTTTTCTGTTCATAAAATGCAGCCGGGGCAGGTGGATTGGAAGGACTCCCTCGTGTCTGTTGCCCGGTAAGTATGAGTATGTAAGAATACCACACACGCGTTAATCTTATGTAAGGTCCGGTAGAATTAGCTAGTGTCCGCTGAGAAAGTTGGTTGCCTCCCAGAAGGGAAAGGTTTGAGGGCTACGTACGCGCATTTCATTGGTCATCTGCATATGCGAATTCTGCGTGATAAGTGACAAAATTATTATTGTTATTGTTATTATTATTATTATTATTATTATTATTATTATTATGATAATGATGATGATGTGCATGCTTCACACCTATAGGTGGCCTTATTCACCAAAGCATTAAGCTCTCTCCTATAGCCTTTGGCGTCTAGGGTCCTTCTTAGGATCTTAGCTGTTCCCAACAAACAAGCTTTCTGGAGCAATGCAATAATCCCAGGTGTTCCCAACTTGCTGATCCACATCTTTAGGTGTTTACTCACAGTCCCAAGGGCTCCAATTACAATAGTGAAGGCAGATACTCTTCTGCAGTTCCAAATCTTTTGAACGTCCACTTTCAAGTCCTGAAAGTGGTCGATCTTGTCCCTTTCTTTTTCTGCTACCCGTGAATCAAAAGGGCAAGCTACATCGGCTCCATCTTTCCTCTTTTTCCAGCACCACAATATCAAGTCTATTGTGGTCTAAATGGTGATCTCTGTGAATTCTGAAATCCCACAGTAACTTCACTTGGTCATTTTCTATCACTGCCTCCGAAGAACTTAAGCAACCTTGTCGTGTCTCCAGTTTTTACACTGGATTTGAGCTACTATTTCGCCTTCTGCAGTTATATGGCGGACGGATTCAATTATTATTACTATTATTATTATTATTATTATTATTATTATTATTATTAATATTATTATTATTAGGTCATACTTCTTATTTCTTTCAAGTGTAACTATATTGTTCTCTTTGTTGTTCATATCCTTGTTTTCAAGCCCGCTAGCGTGATTTTACTTAACCCGTGAAATAGGTAGTAGAATCCTACGCACTTTTATGCACTAATTCCATAGTCTTCTTTTGTTTACTAGTAGCTATTTTGCAGTAGTTGCTAGTATTTGTTTCACGGGCTAAGTAAAATCACTATATGATTCGGATAAATAGTCATTTCTCCATCTTCCTTATTTGGTCCGCGACACGCCATAATGATCAATAACCTTTTTTCTTATTAACAGCAAAACCAGGGCCATCGTGCGGAAGACCACGCCGCATAAGACACGGGAGATTTACGCCGGATAGAGATCGCTTTGATGTCGGTACAACTGTCAGGTATATCTGTAAAGACAAATACCGCCTCAGAGGAGTTGACCAGCTTACCTGTGGTACAAATTTAAAATGGAAACCACGAAGACTACCCAGTTGTACAGAAAGTAAGTGCTTGTCTGAAGTAAAAATAAATAATTATAATTGTAATCAGTGACAATGACAATGATGATGACAATGACGAGGATGATGACGCTGATGACGATGATGATGATGATGATGATGGTAGTGGTGGTGGTGATGACGATGATGATGATGATGATGGTAGTGGTGGTGGTGGTGGTGGTGGTGATGATGATGATGATGATGATGATGATAGTGGTGGTGGTGGTGGTGGGGGTGGTGGTGGTGATGATGATGATGATGATGATGATGATGATAATGGCGATTACGATGTCGATGACGACGACGACGACTTTAACAATGATGATGGTGGCAATGATAACGATAACGATGACGGTGATGATAATGATAATGATAATAATGATGATTATGATGATAATATTAACGATCGTTTTCGATAGCCTATGGTGATAGCGGAAAAGTTCAAGGTTCGCCTGAAGGAAATAGACGACCAGGGGCCCGTTTCTTGAAAGTTCTGGTAATTATAATTTTCGGGCCCGAAATCAAACATTTAAATTAAAATCTTAGGAATAACAGCGCAGGTCGGCGCCAAAAAAGCAAGTCCATTTTGTTTTGTTCTTTTAATTAACTGATAGTTTTATCTTATTATCTGAAAAACTACTGAAACCTCAATCTTGAATGCAAACAACAACAGCTCTCCTGGCCTGTTAATCAATTATCAGGACTTTCGAAAAAAAGGGACCCGAAAACTGTTACAAAAGACGGCACCATCCTTGAAATATAAGGTGCATAGTTTTCTATTATTTTATTATTGAGGTCAATCGTAAAATAATAGAAACTGGAAGTCCTCAAAATTTGCTTAGCGGTAGCTGGTTATGAAGAATTTTCCGTAGGATTTGAAGTGAATCAGGAACAGAAAAACATTGAATGAAAAGTAATGATAGGTGTTTGTCAAGAGAGGATAAAGGGGACAGAGAAGGCATCCCCCATACACACCCTATTCCGTAGGTAATTCGTCTCGAGTTATTTTTAGAATCGGAATAAAGTTACCTCGCGCGCTGCGTGGATGTTTCGTGGAGGTTTCGCATGACTAAACGCCGTGCAAAACATGTCGGGTGAAAGGCAATGAAAGCGTAAAGAGATCGAGGGTATTCCCGAATATTAACGTGAAATGAGTCGGCGCTCACCTGGGAAAAGGGAATCGCTAGACTCTTTGACAACCTGTGAAATCAATTTTACTCCAAATTTTCGTAACCTCAGTGCTTTAATAAAATGAGAAATTTTGCCGGTCTTTTGAGACCGGTCGTTTGTAGAACAAAGGAAGTAGGATGCCAAGTGTTATGTTTGTTGAATAATAAAAGACTAATAAAAGAATAAATATCAAACCAGAAATTGCTCTCTTCAGACTGTAAATTATAAATGATTCTGAGAGAATATTCAGTGTGTTAAGGATTTCCCTGCTGTACTGTTAGCTCTATACAAGAGAGGAAGGGCGATTCTTTTTTAATTTCCGTTTCGCTGACACAGCTTTAGCAGAAATCTCTCTGTAGTCCTTTTTGTCGACAAAACGAATAGCAATATCGCTCTCCGCGTCTTCCATTTTGTTCTCCGTCAATTCGTGAAGGACGCGTGGCTCTGAGCGTGGGTCATCCACGCGGAACACATTCGCGCTATGTGATTGGCTGTTGTCTATTCCCCCTTGGGATCTGTGGTCTTAAAAATAACTCGAGTCTAATTACCTATGGAATAAGGTGTGTATGGGGGATGCCTTCTCTGTCCCCTTTATCCTCTCTTGGTGTTTGTGTAAAGTCCTGAGCAATAGCTCACGAATTGACAACCAGTACGGAAGTCAATCATCAGCGATGCCGGAAGTCGCACGTCGAGCTACAAGTACTGTTCACAACTGTCCGATTCAGCATTACACTTTCCCCCACGATCATATACATTCAGCTGACCCAAGTCACCTTTTTGTTTTTCTTATCTAGAGATAAAGTGTCCAGATCCAGGTATACCTGACAATGGTCAACGTAGCGGAAGCTTATTTTACGAAGGAACTCAGGTCCGCTTCTCTTGTGATGATGGCTTCGAACTTGACGGTTTAAGGTCGCTAGAATGCGTTCGCCTGTGTTATTCCTGCAGTTCTGTGCGATGGAATGGTACTACCCCAACCTGCAGGAGAATAGGTAAGTACTTATGTCCTACTGACACTTCTTTTGCAAGTGACGTGTTTCCTTTGTGTCATTGAATCTTTTTATATATTAAGGTATTGACATTAGCTTCCTGTATTAGATGAAATGATTTGGTTAAGTAGGGGTTGAGCGGGTCTCTCTAGGCTTGTTTTTAAACCGCTTGAGGTTGCGCATTCAAGTTAAATAGCTGAGGTGATGAGGCGAACCACTTTGCTCGGGCAACGCGATCCAAAACGAATTGTTCGCGAGGATAAATGAGGCCTGGGGTCTAGCCAAGAGAACGGCATTTACGTTGTAATCATTCCAATTAAAGTGTCCGAGGACGCGTCTTCTGCATGATGCTGTTAACTAAAGTATTTGATGCTAAAGTCATGGTTGAGATTGTTCGTGACCACAACCTGCCAACAGAGTCTCCTTATGTCTTCCTGAGTTAGGAGGAGAAAAAGGGGCTCTGCCTGAATCACCTCAAGCTGCCTTTGCCGTCGCCGAAGCCCGAACTCCTGGGCTATTTAATCTTGGACTATTTTTAAATTGAGAATCAAATCTCTCTTCTAAATAATAATAATAATAATAATAATAATAGTAATAATAATAATAATAATAATAGAAATAATATAATCTTTATTCAAGTGACAAAAGTCATAAAAAATTATAAATAAGTTAAATTAAAAATTACAATTAAAGTAGAATCATATTCTAACTAAGTTATAACTATAGCATAGTCTATTTACAAAGCAATTCTTAAAGGGCTCAGTGTTGACTATAGGAGGCTGAAATTTTTTTTCCTCGAAGCCTTTCAGAAGAGTCCTTTACAGTCCGTAAGGTAGAGTATAGTGGATGGTGTTCGTCCTTGCTAATTTTATCATGGGGCTTTCTGTCAAATTACAATTGTTCCAAAAAATCACATATACTTAGTTTGTCCGAGACGTAGCGTCTTTTGTGACATCTCTTTAGAAAGCAATCCATAACAACAAGGTCAGCCTTGCTATCACCACAAATGTCGGACAGAATACGATTTGATATTTCTACAGAAGCTTTTAAAATTATCCTTTAATCAAACCACAACTTACTCAAAGACGAATGATTTGTTGTAGATCCCTTGAGAGGGCTTCAGAGGGTCGCGGAAAGCCTTCGTCGACATTTTATCGACAAACTAAGCTGGAGTACTAGCGACAGCTTTGCACGGTCTGGCTTATCCTCGGGCGCAGAAGGCCTGGACCTGGTGTTTGTTTTCGATAGCTCGGCAAGTGTGGGCAAAGCGAACTTCAAGAAGGGAATAGCTTTCGCCAAAACAATCATTGATGAGTTCGGTATCTCGAGTTCTCCCTCGGGCACAAGAGTTGCGGTTGTTATATTCAGTTCGACTGCAAGAGTGGTTTTTAATCTACAAACAAACGCTATGCCCAACAAAGATAGAGCTATTGAAGTTCTTGGTAAGTGTTTTGTTTTTAATACATACTCCCTTGCATCATCATAAAAGTTTATTTAAAACAAAATCTCAACCATTGTTTTTACTTTCGTCTTATTTTTAATGGTTGAAATGAGGTGTGTGAGCTGTCAAGGACAATGCTTTCCTATCGAATTGACTGAATTTTCTATTTCGGTCACTCAGATTGCTTATTTACAAACGCGTTGTCTTGCATTAAATCATCATCATCATCATCATCATCATCATCACCATCATCACCACCACCACCACCACCACCACCACCACCATCATCAGCATCATCATCATCATCATCATCATCATCATCATCATCATCATCGTCATCATCATCATCATATCATTTCCTCACCTTTTTATCAAAATTATCATTATCAAAATCATTTTCTTGTGTTCTTCGTTTTCTTCTTGCCAACTTTTTTTCATTAACACCTCACCCACTATGGACTCCATTAAGACAACTCTTGCCCCCCTTATGCAGAAGTTTCGTTCCATCATCTTTGTAAAATTCATGAGTTGGTTTGCTGAAGATGTATTAAATGAAGCAAACTGATATTTTTTTTAGAAAACCTGGATTTTATAGCAGGAGGCACTGCAACAAGTATTGCGTTAAACAAGACCATCGAAGAAATTGTACCTGAAACTCGCAATAACAGCAAGAAGGCACTGTTCCTTATCACAGATGGCAGATCAAACATTGGTGGGGACCCTGTGGCAGATGCAATGATATTACGTGACAGCGAGGACTTTGAAATCTACGCTATTGGCGTTACAAATAGCGTGGATGAGCAGGAGCTGCGAGGGATTGCGTCGGAACCGTTTAGAACCCATGTCCATCTTCTTGAGAATTTTGAAGACTTGACCAAACTGAAGGAACTTATCACGGCTAAAGGAAGTGGTAAGATTAAATAAAGTATTTAAGAGACTAACACTTATGCTTACCTTGAGATGTGATAGAACTGAGATCTTTAATTACCCCAACTTTTAGTACTGGCAGTCAATGTGAAAATGATTTAGAAAACAATCGTGAATCGTGAATAGATTGATATTTTTTGCCCTAATAAATTGATTCTCAAAGTTTGAGTTTTGAAAACAAGTAGTAAGAAAAAGTTTTTTATACCCGAATAGAGCGATAGTCAATATTAATTTCCGTATGATTTCCATATCCGATCACGGAGCGCTGTGCATTTCAGGTACAAACCCTTACCCACGTTTTTCTGTGGCTTGTTATTCTTTTTTGCTTTGTTAAGATTACAGCGCATGCGGAGTTGCGGGAGACACACAGCTAAGAAATGACGAACGCGGTGGTTCTCGCATCGTGGGTAAAAGTAAGGCTAAACCTGGCGCCTGGCCGTGGACTGTAGCAGTTTACGTGAAAAGCAAATTTCGGTGTGGTGGCGTGCTGATAAAAAGGAACTGGGTCCTAACTCTGGCAAGGTGTTTTCTTAACCATGCTAACATCGTACCAAAAGATGTTGTCATCAAAGTAGGTAAGAGATGATAAGCATTTCTAATATAAGACACTTTTCATGGGTTATTTCCTATTGAGTCTGTTCTCTAGATAAGACCTCAGAGCTCTCTAATGTATCAACACTGAATTTTCTTTCCTTGAAAACTTTCAAAGGTAGTTTGTATCCAATTTTTGCTCGGAATGTTTCGGAAAAGCCAACATTTACACCAGAGGAGTTGGTGTCAACCACGGGGACGAGGCGGGCCATGGCGGGAGCGTGAGACACGGTCGACGGGCAGGCCGCCCCTTTCTTCGCCCGGCCAATTTTGTTTTTTCTCACGCTCTCTTTGCGCGAGTGTCGCTCTCCATGTCCGCCCGAAAAACTCCAAAAATAAGGCCAGTTTTTTTAGGTTAGTTAAGTTCCAAACACTTATTGGTTGTCGATTACATAGGTGAGCATGATCGAAAAAGAGAAGAGGGAACAGAACAAAACGTACGAGCTAAGAAACTGGTCATTTATCCAAACGCCAGCATGACCGGGCTGGAAGATGACTTGGCGTTAGTACGCTTGAGGGAGGATGTTAAACTATCGCCGTTTGTGAGAACAGCGTGCCTACCGCAGTCAGGTGACGATTTCTATGTAAGGACTGGAAAGCTAAGCGTTATAGCGGGATGGGGATCTTCTCAAGAGGTGAGAGGACGTCTGTTTTCATTTTCTTTCATTCTTCTTTCTTTCATTTATTTAATTTTTTTTTTTCGCAATGGGCTACAATTATTGAGAAAACAGAAGATCTCCCTTAAAAATGTTTTGTTAGAATCCGAGCATTCGGTGACCCGTCATTATTTAATTCAATGGCTTAATTAAGGGATTAAATCAAAACGTGAAAACGTGTAACAGAAGTAATATCTTATTGTTTGGATTTATCATTTTTCTCGTTTTCACTCAGTTTGAAACCATGGAATGCAACAGACCTCTTTGGCTAGATTTTGTTGTCGGTGTTGATTTAATTCAGGAGCAAGGTGCCTTATTACGAAAATGACACCCTATTTGTTTTGCAAACTTATTGTACTTTTGGTGAGGTCACAGAGAAGCATCCCAACCTGTGCGCCCAACCTGTGCGCCCAACCTTAACTTGGTGAGAATCGAAGGCGTGTCCGGAGACCCACGGCAGCTGAAAACAGATTTTGCTATATTTTTAGGAGTCTGCAAATCATCTTTTTAACTATGTTTAATCTCAGGTCCCTTCAGATGTAGGAGGTGCCCCACTTCAGGTCCTGCAACAGACACAAATTAAGTTTGCGTCTCTCCGCGACTGCCGTAAAAATGCGACCAATCCTGCTGCAATAACAGAAAGAGTCGTCTGCGCTGGGAACTCTACTGGGGACAGAAATGCTTGCAAAGGCGATCGTGGATCCCCACTAATGGTTTGCTTTTTAGTGTTATGTAGATTTATATTGTTGTACACTTTAAACCTTTCAATTGCAAGGACCTTAATAGGCCATTTGCATGATGACGTCATTTTACTACTACGACCAGAATCCCTAAGGAGTTTGCTTCAGTATTCGGCGAATGGAAAGTCCGTTCCATTCTAGCTCTTGCAATAGGGGACCCGACTTAGAGTCATGACTAGAAATAGTTATGATCCTAGTTTCACAGTTTTGGAGGGCTAGTCCTGAGTCCAGGCCCTCCCAAGCAACGCAGCAAAGTAGGGCTGAATGAAAGAGTTTTTCATTGTTTGGAGGATTATGTGGATGGAGGTGTTTATAATGAAATCATAAATTTGACATCATAAGACGTTTTTGTTGACGACATTTGGTTACAGCTATTGCCAAGCTATTGCTATTGTCGCTGAATAAAACAATGGTGGTAACCGATTATGGACATCCCGAAAAGTAAATGGGCTAAGAACTCTGGAAATAACAGTAAAAGAGAAAATAAACGATTTTCGTATCATTTTCTTTCGTCTTTGCTTGCTAAGAAATAAAGAATTAAATTTTCCCTGTTTTAAAAACAATTCAATATTTTTTTTTGTATAGCAGTGGACGTTTTCTTTTATTCCTGTTGACAATAAGTGACACCATTGGCAAACAACTTCGATAACTCTTTAAACACTGTAGCTACAGAGCATTTTCACATGAGGTCAGTCGGCCATACAATAAAACTGAGACTGCCTTCTTGGTGTTCCAAACAAATCCTATGGGAGTTAAAGTCTTTTCTAACGTAATAAAACGCTTTCTTTTGTTCCCATAAAGTTTGCATAGATACTGCCCACGTGAGTGAAAATGCTCTATTGGAGAAATCTTTGGGGATAGCAAATCATAATGACGTTCACTCTTGATGATTTCATGTCTCAACTGTTTGCAGATAAGACGTTTAGATAATCGAGACAGCTGGGCAGTGGTTGGTTTAGCGAGTTGGAGTCAAGGGTGTGCCACCAAAGGAAAATATGGCGTCTACACGCGCGTCGACAAGTATATACGATGGATCAAAAGGAAAATCAACAGAAGGAATAAGAAAGACTAACAAGAGGATATCTCACAATTCCAGAGTCCAACATAGCAATATTATTTAGCATGGAAAAAGAACGGACCCCTGTAGTCATACTTTAAGTAGATGGGTTCTGATCGTTCGGCTGACGTGAGTGTAGACCTTAATTGGACTGTTTTCGATTGTGACTGACGTTTCTGCAATAGGCCATTTGCACGATGGCGTCATTTTACTACTACGACCAGAATTCTTTTCTTTTTCCCTTTCATATTTAAATTTGGTAGCCCCAGTGAGGTTTAAATAACAAAAGCCCTCATTTGCACAAGAAAGCAAAACCCTAAAGGATTCTGGTCATAGTAGTAAAATGACGCCATCATGCAATTGCCTATTTGCGCGGTTAATAGCCGTTATTCACGATATCCGCCATTTAATTTTTGCACGCGCTTTAGGATTGATGGGAAAAAGCAACGTCACGTGGTTTCTTATTCAATGAGGCAGACAAGTTATAAATTTTGCCAATACGATTAACCGTGGTCAAGTGTGTTCATTCTCCCAAAACAAGACGACGATTTTTGTCTTGCAAAAATTATGTACAGTTCGAGTTTCTATAAGTTTAACGTATTGCTTGCTGTGAGGACATCTACGTTAATTCGCTTCTGCATCCAGAAAAGAAAAAATGATCATTTCCAGTCATAATTTTCCATTATCACCTTTACGGTAAAAAGTTTCTTCATTTTCTGTTCTCTAAAATAAACAAACTCGTTGCCGATTTCTTCTTTTGGCAGATTTAATCACTTGTTTGTCCCCCTGGGAAACCGCGTGAGATTGCTTTTATCCCATCAGTCTTTAAGCGCGTGCAAGAAAGCGGTTATTGTGAATAAGGAATAAGGTCTACTATTTGATTATGATAACCACCTAGATTGATAAAGAAGTCGGGATAGACTGTCGCTAACGGCCGTACTAGCGTTCCACTCACTTAGACGAAGACGATCTTCATATTTAACCTACTTCATGTTATTAAGATCACTGTTTGATATATAGAGAGGAAAAGCAAGAAAAATGCAAAAAAAAAAAAACCTTTCTCCTTGTAATTTAAAAGCGAGAAAGTAACCGATTAGCGTGAGAAAACTGCCGACATTTCGCAACGCTACCATTGGTCTCCACGCAAAATGACGTCTGAGAAACGACTGCAAAAGTTCTTTCGTGGTGATGACGTGTCACTGTCTAGATCTGGGTAGAACTTTCTGATCGATTGTGCCACGAGGGAAATTTGCTTCAACCAATCGGAAGCACTACCCAGATCTGGGTAATGACACGTCATCAGTATGGAATTTCTGCACTCGTTTCTTAAGTGTCATTTCGCTGGGAAACCAGTGGTGGCGTCGCAATAATGTCGGTTATTATCTCAGGCTAGTAATCGACATTTACTTTTTCCTTAAAAAAAAAAATTGGAAAAAAAAAATGGAATTAGCAAGCAAGTAGGTGTCAATTTTTTATTAAGTGAACGTTTTTTTTCGAGGGAAAAAAGTAGCCTGTACCAAGTCTTCAGCTGGTAGAGAGGATAAATTTTGCCCGTAAAAGTAGACAAATGGCAATTTGTGTTGGACGTATTAAAGAAGAATTGTGCAGCGTATATTTAATTTACAATACTAAAAGACTAGCCAAAAGTGTATTTCTTTTTCTCTTTTTACAATTATCTTTTGTGGTTTATTTCTGTAATTTTCTCTTATACTCTAACGTAATATTACGGTACATTGTTAAGCATCTTCATTTTTGGTCTGTGTAATAATAAACGTTGTAATTAAGATCGTTCATTCTTCTAATTCTTAAAGAACAGAAATCGGACTAACCAACTCTTTCTGTCTGTCTTTTTTACTTAATTGCGTTTAGATACTTAGTTTCAATGAAAGTCTTCGTCATGGGTGATTAAATAAACATTCAACATGATAACCCTCATTTTTATAAGATCGCTCTCTGCTTTGTACTTCAAATTCAGCAGTGATGTTATGGTTATTTTGGAGCTAGCGCTGAAGACATTTTGCTCTAACTGAGGTTAGGGTAGTTGATAGGTCCTGCACTTCGTGTCCGTTGAAAAATGCTTGAAACGTTTCTCTTTTCATCTCCTGGAATGGATTACTAGGGTGGAGGTTCACTTTTTGTACCTGAAAGGAAACTAGACTAAATTAGATAAAATACTTTAATTTATGTAGCAACACCAGGATATACAATGAATTCAAGTCAATATGTCGATTTTTTTGCCATTAGGGACCTTAAGATCCGAGGATGGCGACGGCAGCGAAAACGTCGCTGAGAAAGTGAATTCGCGTTCTTTCAATCTTCATAGTGTTTACCCCAAATCACTAACTTTGTCAAATGTTGATGAACCCTCCTAAAATTGAATTCCTAAGAACCATATCCAGGTTCACAAAGAGAGAGGAAAATTCCCTCCCCATTCCATTCCATTTACGTGCTAAAAACAAGCTTTTAGTTATGAACTGTCTTTATTTATCTGCAGAAATCTGTGTTTAAAATGCCATGAGTATGCCGATATAATACGAAATGTAAGTCATCTTTCTGAACTGTTGTTGATAACATACGGAAACTAGCTGCACACCTTACAACGGCTTGGCTGATGGTAGCTCAGAGCAGTAAGCGTGATGTGCGGTTCACGGTATGATTGTTTATGCGGCACAAAAAATGCGACAGCTTGCTATAGGTTACCGCATATGAGTCACCAAATGTAAGGTAATCCAAGACAGTCTTGGATTCTGGATTCCACGTTGTGGATACGGGATTCCTTGTCAGTGGAACTTGATTTCCGGATTCCAATCGTTAGCGGGATTCGAATTCCTTGAACCGAATCCGGGATTCCAGATTCTAAAAGCAAAAATGTCTCGCATTCAGGAATCCTGATTACCTTGCACGGGGCGACATGAGTTAACACACGTTACCTTATAAACTTCCAATGCTTCCATAGTCATATGCCGGACTGGCAGGACATTTAATCCAAGTCTCAAATCCTTTTGATCTTCAAAGAAATAAAAGCATACGATTTTAAAATCGAGGCTAGAAAGTATTCTTAACTTTTGGCCTGATATTTTAGCATGCCACTTGAAATTAATTCTCTTGAATACCTTTGTGAATAAGATATGTTTGTCCTCTTAAACATTCCTCCTAGGAGTGATTTACTAGCCTGCACTCGCTGAAGCAAAAGGACAGTTTGTCGGACATGCACAGAAAGCAAAATTTCTCTTCCCCCCTGGTCATGTCGTCGATATAAGTCAAAGACTATTACAGGAAGTTTATGCGTTTTTCTTCAATCTATTTGACTGAATTTGAAGGGTGCTCATTCGGATATGGTTAGAAAGTTTTAAAAAATGATGATGTCACGAGTGGTAGGTGTCACTAGGATCCGCAAGGGTGGTTTCAGGCGGTTCAAAAGATAATAGTAGGGTTTAAAGTAAATGTACCAGCTTTTAATTTTGTTGGCAAGGCCTTCAATTTTTAGATGCCACTCACCTTCCGCTTGAGTCGTTAAACTTCTTGCAAATTGTTCTGCATTCCTGAATGTCTTGCCGCACGTGTTCCAGCAGAGCCTCGTGTTGTCTGTTCAATTTTTGAAAGAAGGTCAATCGCTTTTTTATCCGGTTTGTCGTGTCCTCATTGATACAGTTTCGAAATGCATCCAAGCGAAGTTTTTCTTTTTCGATCAGTATATCTTGTTGACTCTGTGCGTCGCGAAACTTGCTGAGTAAACCAAGAATCTTCTCCCTACACTCTGTACCTTCATCTCCGTTCTTCGCCACTTTTTGCCAGTTATGTACCTCTGTCCTGATTTGAACCTTTTATAAATATCGACACCTTTAGATATTCATTACCTTAAAAGCATTTGATCTGCTCAAGTTCACGAAGCTGAAGAATCTTTATTAATACCCCCTCCTCCACCCGCCTCAACCCGCCAAAAGGCACATTTCCAGTCGTCGCTTCTCTCCACCCGGTGGGAGAGAAGCGACGACCGGAACTACGTCTGCGGTTCGCAGGCTATAGCCTACGTAGCTGGCAGTTTGTTTGGCTACGTACGTAGTTTATAGAATTTCGGTTCGTGCTTGGCATTATAGCTGACATGGTTTACTTAGTATACGTGGTTGTTAGCATCCTTATTCTGAGCGCGTCGATACAATTTCAGTAAATAAACCGTCCGCGCTCTCAGAAAAGAAACGGAAAAAGAGAAAAGAGATAAAAAATAAACAGTAAATTTAAAGAAGAAACAAGTCAATATCTAGTATTTGTTTAGTTATCAAGAAATCTGTTATTACAGTACCTGGAAGATTTTCTTCTGTTCTTGATAATGCTGGCAGAGTTTGGTAAAATGCTCGAACTTATAATCTGGTGGAGATTGGACTGTCACCTGTACCTGGTAAGAACGAAATATCCACGCTCATATCTTTTATTGTACTTACTACTGAAGTTTGCTACCTGAAATATTATATGTCATTTTGTAAAGAGAGCAAATTTACTATTTTCAAATCCCCCATAATACACTCTGTTTGACCCCAATATATTTTGCTTTTTAGGTTGTTGTTTCAAATTAATGCTCTTCGAGAGTATTCCTCTCTGAAGCTTTTGGAAACAATACTTAGTTTAATTATGTAAACAATTGGAGTGAGAAACAAAGTGCATTATGGGAGATTCAAAAATAGAGAGATGAGTGTGTGTTCTGGAAGCTTTTTATCCCATCAGGGACACTTTCTCGCATGTATCACTGGCAGGCCTGCATGCTTTAGTAGGTCTATTTCTTCTATATTGGGCTTAAAATCAGCGGTGTGCAAATCCTCTGTATTGAAATCATAATAGCGAACTTACCTTTTAAAAGATTTACATAAACATCAAAATAGACACAGACAGACATAAATACGTTACAACACACTTGTAAAAACAGTCCATACTGTTAAACTGTTGCTGTTTTCTTCTGCTGTCAGGGTTCTGTCAGTCAGTTACAGAGTGAACAAAGACAGAAAAGCTGAAACACATGAAAACTACAGAACAAGCATTAACAAACAATTCAAGACGGGGAAACAATGTTCAGCTTTGAAAGATATCAAAAGCTTAAAGAAACCAGGCGAACTAAAAATATTGATAAAAATGTTAAAAATAATATAGAGCCTAATTAATCAACGGTAGTATAGTTCACGTATTGCTTATTATCATCAATTGTCGGTCAACAGCAGCTTCTAAGTTGATGATTAGTTCTATTACAGTTCTGGGTAAAAATAAAATAAAATAAGTTACACTGCCCCTATTCTTTCTTGAGGTTAGTTTCAAGGAAAAGGAATTATTGTAATTCCTTTCTTTTAATTTTTTTGAAAAATGTTTTTTAGTTTCGTAAAAACCGGACCCGAGAAGAGAATGGTTAAAATGAAAAAACGATAATAAAAATAAAAGTGACCGCCTAGATAGTCGAGTTTTTAAGACTATCACGTGATCTTGGGCAGATTCAGAATGATGAGTAGCCTGGGACCAGGCTCCGCAGTTGGGATTAAAGACAAAAAAAATTAAAAAAAAAATCGGCAAGTGAGCCACCGCCCTTTCCCCCTTTCCAGTCTACCACTCGCCTCGCGAAAGTTTAATGTCGTTTCCCTCAGTTTTTCGCCAATTTTTCCCCACAGCGTAGCCTGGTCCCAGGAGTATAGAATAAGCTGTGTGTTAAACTAATCACGTGATCAATGGTGGATTCAGACTGAGCTATATATGATCGGTTAAACTTGTTTTGCCACTCCTTGCGCTTGCTTGTTTTTACCCCAAGATCTCGATTGTAAAGTGTGCTCAACAAAATTGAGATTTCTCTCCCCTTGCCCATCGCTGTTCCCCGAATAAAAGAGTGAAATGAAAAAGATAGCCTGATCGTAGCTTAGGGTAATCATTACATGGATTCTGTGATAGCTGAACCCAACCCGAAGTTTCCTAAAAACAGGCAAAGGTGACTCGATTGCCTCCTGAAGGCTTGCGGAATTGTTAGTCTCTTTCAAGTATCACTTTAACTTATGAATAGCAATAAGGTCTTCAGTGCTGGTAAATAAAATTAAAACAATTCAAACCTGAATAAGTTAATGAAAATAATACTAATTTACAAACCGTGTTATTATTTTGTTTAACAGGTGGCAATGCGGGTGGTTTATTGGCCAAACCTACGGAGCTCATTGTTGTTCCCATGGCAACCTACTTGAGGCTTCGGTTCAGGGGAAGTAGCTTTGCTTCAGTTTATTCTGAAATAAACAAACGTTTTTAGCAAAAGCTAAAGAAAATCTCTTTTTCCTCTGAATAAGGGAAGATAATTGCACGCATAATTCTTGGGCACATGCACAAGAAAGACGACACCTGTTTTGGAATTTACGGATTATCAAATTTTCTTGGGAGATTTTCCAATAAATTCGCTCTTCAAGACCTTTGTAAGATAACTGGCAAGGTCTGCTTTATTTCTTTTTTCTCTATTTTTCACGCATCCAAAATACGAAAGTGAAGGCCGATACATTTAAATTACTTCCTTAGGAATAACGAAACAACGGAACTGAAATAAAGCTTGGCTAGATAACTGTGGTTATCCGTTGTATAGCAAATTATGAACTCTCGTTTTTGCGTTTTTGGAAAGAAAAAAAAAATTATTGCAAGATTAGACCTTAACAATTAAAAATTGGGTACAAAAAATCCTTTAACAAAGTTCGAGGTCTAAACTCGGCATTACGAATAGCGCATATGCGTAGGTACGTGCAATTAGGCATATTGAAATTGAAATTGAACACTACAAGCACCTGTTACTGTAAAGGCAAAAAAACAGCTCGAGAATGGTTTAAATTAACAGAACGCTGTGCAAAGTATACTGTACCTGGCACCTGTAGTTTGTTGATGGAGGAATGAAGTGTAAGAAGCTGTATTCTGTACTAAACGGCTTAATAGTCAGAGCACTAGAAGCGTGAAGGTTGAGAGGATTACGCTGGCGATGATAGTCTTCTCCTTTGAATTGTCCTTGAGAATGCGGATGTTCTACTTGGATATTTCTTTCGCTTGACTGTTCTCGTCCTTGTGTGGCTTGAAAGAGTGCTCTATGGGCGCATGAAAAAGCTTATAAAGTGAAATCATCATGTCTAACTTGTGCTGTGTTATTTATTTCGCAGTACATACGCCCAGTGCCGGGTATCGACCCTATGACACCACATGGGCACAAGTGAACAACCTTATTATTAACCAGTAGATTTTAACTGGAAGGGCGCGTCCATGTCAGCGGTATCCCCCATTAAGGTGGGGTATTTCGGCACGCTTCCAGTATATTTGCTTGTGTTTTTGGCCGGACACCAGTTCTATTTGTTCAACCCTTATGGTATATTATTGCGATGTTTTAAGACAGCGTTCAAAAACTAAATGCGGACGCCTCAAATTCTTTAGAACTGCCTAATAAGACAACGAACTGTTCTCGACGGCGACCTCTTCCTAGAACACCAGCTGTTTTCGAAATAAGCCGTTAAGATAGGCAACCGTTTTGCTAAACAACGGACACACCTGAAAAACAATACGCGGCGATGTTTCAAGACTTTCAAAGCTCACTGAAAGTTATTATTAACACCATTGTTTGTTTTTCAATGTCAACATCAATCAAAGCCGAAGCGAACTTTTTGATAATCTCTCAGACTTGCTCAGTCTAGCCTTAATATTATTTATCGCAGAGCTATTACACAGAACTATAAGCAAGGCCAAAAGAAATATTTTTATGTATAAAAAGAAAAAAAAAAAAAATGGAATGTTCAATTTTTATACGACCTTAAACTATATGATTCGTTTCATTACAAAGAGTCACATTAGCCGGGATTGTTGATGCTCCATTACTATCAAACTGTGGACAGATTTTGAGGCTGTTTAAAGGGAGGATGAAATATATGTAAATAATTATACAGCCACCTGTTGAAGGTGCACTCCAGGAATGCCAAAATAAACGAAAAGTACTATTACACACATGCTCAGTCGGCTTTTAATTCAATATCTTTCTGTTACCTTGCTGAAAAATCTGAAGAAAAAAAAAATATTTAAAAAGAAGTAAATAGATAGAAGACAGGACAAAAATACAAGGGCATACTATTTTAATTGTCAAGGCCTCAATTACCGAGGCCCCTAGAGATGTAAGAACTTGACTGGAGCCTTAGTGCATTTAATTCAGTTTGACTTATGCTTGTAGAAGTACTCGCTACAGTCGCTACAGAGAGACTAAAAAGAACAAAACCTTAACTTTGCCTCAAAAGACATTTCTAAAGCTTCCCAAACGAAATGGAACGAACTATTCGATTTTTCAATCAGAAGTTTACTTCCCTTACTGTCCCTGGGGTTGGCGAGAGGGATTTACACATATGCGCAGTTAATTAAGTTTTAGGTATTAAGGTTTGAATAGCACCTGCTTACTGTTGTACCCACATTGGCGCCAAAACTTGTGACCACAGGTAATACTGGTTCCCAGGCCCTTGCACAGCACCACCAGTTGATTAGAAGTACAGTCAACTCCCGATAACTCAAATCTTCTAGCTAGGGAAAGCGAAAATAGTTCGAGTTATAGGTAGTTCGAAGCAAATAACCGGAAATAAGGACATGAGCAAATGCGAAGGGGAAGGAATGCAAATACAGGATTAAGATTCACGTTTACCGCAAAAGGCAAACGTCAGACTCACGTTGAGAATTTCTCCGAATAGGAAATAAGCAGATAAAAACAGCCCCGAACGATTCCTGTGGTTAAATCTGGCATAAAACTACTTATTTCTGTGTAGAAGCAATAAAGAGTAAACGGAAAGTAAGGGAAAAACTTGGTCACGTGGTACAAATTCACGTCGATATTTTGAAAAAAGGAATTGAAGCAACAAAGCTTGAATAATATACAGGGCTAGATACTGTATTTTTCTTGTTATTTCCCGACCTCGGCCGGTCCCTATAACAAAATAACTACGGCGAGTTATCTACATGTAAATAAATTCAGCAATTTAGTTTTATCTATGGTCCAGATTCAATGTTTATCTGGCGTAGCTCGCCAGGTTTTCTTAAGAGACCCTAGCATTTTAGAAGAAAGCACAGGCAGAGGTTTTATTCAGTGTAACAACAACTGTAGTGAACAGCAACGAAAATAATCTTTGTTTTCCTTAATTCAGGTTATTTACAGAGGTGTACCGGCCCACAGGTAGCTATAATAGTGCTAATTTTGGCAGGTCAGTCATTTTAAGTATAGGAGACAATTTATTCTTTTATTTGTATGGTTGTTTAAATATCAAAGATTATACACAGGAGAGAAAGAACTTACAGTATACAGAGGATCTGAAGTATATAAAGTTCATCGAAAAAAAAAAGGTCGTATCTATTCATGCTTTACCTTATATTAGAAATGGTCAAGTATATCAATGAACGAATCTACTAGGAAAATAATCGGTAGCGCGCTTTGAATTCTTTAACTGAAAAAAGCTTTTCGGTATAGTTCTCTCTGGCCCTGTCCACACTAATGCGTTTTCAAATGTATACCTATTGTCTTCGAAAATGCATCGTTCGATTCGCGTCCACACTACCGTTTCGATGCGTTTTCGACTGTCCACATTAAAACGTTCGAAAATGATAGAAATGCACGTTGTGACGTAAGTTGAACTCAATGCGCATGCGACAAACAAAGACGCGGGTGATATTTTCGGTCTTCGTTTTCACTTTCACGCTTTTTCGACCGTCCACCCTAATACGACATGTATACGTTTTGTTTGGATCCACTTTCAAGACGTTTTTCCATGTAAACGCTCGGCGAATTAGTGTGGAAGCGAAAGGCCTGTAATAAAATGCATCTAAATGTATGCGTTTTCAAACGAAAACGCATTATTGTAGATGGGGCCTCAAAGAAAATGGTATCTCATACCAGAGTTTTCCGCCTACACGCGAAAAAGCATGCAAATGCATTTGACGTCTATCTTCCTTTCTCTTCTCTTTCTTCTTCCTTTCCCCTCCCTCTCCCCTTCGGGTATGTCTTTGTTATGTGGCATTAATGAAGTAAACGCTTTTGCAGACAAAACAACAGCCAGCTTAATAAGTCAATCTCTACTTAAATCTTGAGCTTTCCCAAACAGATCTTAAAGAAAGTTTATGTTTTTCTCCTACCCAAATGTAAACACCATTATGGAACAAGTGAATCATTATGGCGAACGTGATATTTTTACAACCAAATTAAATTACAAGTGATAGCTCAAGGTTCCTCTTAGCTAATGCACAGAGCTATAAATATTAACCGAAGTAAGTGGATTTGCTTTTAATCATCTGCGCCGACTCATCGTACATGTATGCAGTCTCCCGATGATCTTGGCGTCGATAAATGTCACATACGCCGTATTGGAGGATCCTTTGATGTTACTTTCCTCATGGGAATAGCCATATCAATTTTCGGGAGAATTTTTTCCCGGCTTTCCTTATTTGCAAGGAGAACATCGGAGATGCAATTGGTTGCCGAATCAAAGGCGACGGTAAAATTTGACTTATTGATAAAAATCCATAATTTAGGTCGTTCTTGCACTTGACAAGTGCTCTAGGGCCATATGACTAATTTATACTTTTTCATTTTTCCATGTGTCGTTATATATACAGTTTTTTTTAAAATTAGATGACATCCTAACTTCAACAAAGTTATAAACAAGATGAAAACCACGGAAAAGTATTTCGTTTTCCTTTGATTTTTGTTGCCTTTGAAAACCGTTATGATTTTGTTTTCATTGTTTCGATTTTTCCACACCAATTTGGAAGGGATGCTGACAGTCAATGCGACTAATTTTGAGGCAAAATAATTTCAGTTGACTTGCTTTAGCTGTTTACTTGTACTAAAGTTTTTTCAAAGAAACGCATTTTAAACAATTTCAAATGGAAACAAAACTGAAAAATAAGTGACTTTTTGGAGGCTTGAGAATTTCATTTTGAGAGTTATATTATTCTTAAATCAAAAAACATGAACATTCTCAAAGAAGAAGAAAAAAAATAAAAAAATCATGTTTTGGCGAACTCGATAGAAAAAAGGAAACTAATTAATGGAATTGCGTTTTGCGTACAAATGAAAACACTAGATAAATTTTTCCTTCTTATTACCTTTTCCGAAACCATTTTTTTATCGCTGTGAAATGATGATAACCTGCATTGCAGTGAGCGTCTTGCAGTCAGCTTTAGACTTGAAGTTATATTCCATCATCTCGTTCGATCTGCGCTATAGAAATATTTATACAGTGTATGGTCATATTCTAAAGTGATAGTAGAGAAGGAGTCAAATGACTGTATTTTTTTGAAAACCCGTCGTCCCTTTGTTACCTAAATTATTAATCGTGTCTCCGCTAATTTAAAACATCATAAAGTAGATAAAGTTATATTTACTTTAGGTACAACCAATAGCAATGCCATCTAAATTGGATTATAAATTAATATTTAAATTCTCGGTTTTGCACGAAACCCAAAATATCATAGCCAAGAGAGGAGAAAAGCGCCCTAGTCAGAGTCTTTTAGTTTACCGTTTGTAAGATTATTCTACCTGCTGGCATATAGTGGCTGGCAACCTTCGCCGTCATAGGCTTCAGTTTAGTTCTTTCAAAAGAATACTTTTGAAGCCTTGTTCGAGAGCCGCCAGAAATGGAAGGAAACAAACTAGTTTCGAACCAATATCGGAAAAAGGCATTAACTTTTTTAAGTTTGAGTTTTTAAAATCCAATTACATTTTTTCACTTTCTAGGTTTATGAATTATGCTCTTAATTTGTTAGACGTTTGCACTATTATTTCGATAGAGAGCAACTAAGCCCATACTGAAAGAAATCGCAGTGCATGAGGATATACCAGACAAGATGCGCTTGTTTTTGTTTGGTGACACATTCAAGGCTATATTCATGCTACACCCGATAACTATTTCAAGCCAAAACGAAAGGCTATGCGGTTTACCGTACAGTATGAACAGCAACGGCAAAGATCAGGAACAAGTCCCTCACTCACATCAAACAACGAGCTGAACGTTTGGCCGAGAGGGTTTGGTGAACTGCGTCCCAGCCCTCGCCCCTGAACTTCCGTCTTAGTGCAATCCAGTCCTCTCTCTACTTATTCACTTCCGCTACGGTCCAAATGAACTGTCTACACTGCACTACAGTGTGACGCAGAACCTATCCGATATGTGACGCGTCACTTTCGAGATCTCAGCGGGCGCGGCGCAGATTCGCTCCGTAGCAGAAATCGCGCCGAAATCACCGTAATTTTTAGTGTACATAAGCCCTATGGTTATTAAATCATTTTACTTCTCAAGTAACTTTGGAAACGGCAAGAAAGACACAAACGCTACTGTATTCTTTCGAACCCTAGCCTGCGTAGTCTCCCTCGCAGGCGTTTTTTGCATGTCACACAACGCTCCCCCAAAAGACCCTTGGGGAGCGTTGCGTAACATTCAAAAAACGGCTGCGAGAGAGACTATAGCCTGCGTTGCTGACGTAATCTAACCACCCCTGCTAGTAATGGATCATTATACGTTTCTGGAATACTGTCCACCTACCCCTCCCCTAAGTCAACATTTTGCCCTAAGTGGACAGTAAGTGTTTTCGTTAGCTAAGGAGAGGGGTAGGTGGGCAGTTTCCCAGAAACGTATAATTCCTAGTAACTGATATCTGATGTGAATTTGTCTGGTTCTTTAGGATGTTGATTTTTCTCGGTGTTGTCGTGATGTAATATGCACAAGTGCAGCCAAATGTGCCAAAGACTTGTTGACAAAAATGGAGGGCATTCAAACACAACTTCAAAACGAAGTCATTTTGTGGAAATTACGGCTTTTTCGTGGAATCTACACAGAGGAAAGCCGAAAACACTTTTACGAGCTGTTACATCAGTTCACCACCTTAAATGGGATGCTGGATTCCTTGATTGACGGCGAAGTTAAGTACCTGGAAGAAGTGGAAGAAAAGCTGCAGAAAAATGAAGAAGCAGCAATAGAACAACTAGCGGAGGAAACCGAAACTACGCGGCATCAGAGTCGATATAAAGAAGCTGCAGTGGTAAATGCATCTGAACTGAAACGTCAGAAAACGCAGGAAAAACATTTAAGACGAAGAAAGAAGTTTTTCAGCAAGATTCACGAACACAGCGTAAAGTTGTTGACTGTAGTACTTAATGAGGTAAATGAGTGTCGCTCAATGATTGAAATAACTTCCGCCAAGGCCCATGAGGTGTCTCTAAACTGTAAGATGGCACAGAATAGAACAGAAAATACGTCTTTATGTGTTCTGGAAGAATCGCTAGAGAAACTTACTACAACAGCCTGAAAAAAAAAAAAAATAATAATAATACTAATAAAATAAAAGATAATCTGTCATCTCTTTTCGTCCTAGCTCAAGATCAAGCCAGACTACTACACTATTAAACTCCGAAAGGAAAAAGGGGACATGATCTGTTTGGCCAGCAGTAATTATATACGGCCCCATATACATGTATATTTTCGTTTGCAAAGGAAAATAAAGGAAATAAAAAGAAAGAAAGTCCAACCTAACTTGGATTCCTTCGAGTAAAATGTATCTTAGACCCAAAGGACAGGTTATTGGTTGGGACGGATCGTGTGTTCACTAGGCAAATTCATTGTTAAAAAATAAATAAATAAATTATTACTATTATAATCATTAGCTACCTTAGCCAAAGTTTTGTGGGGAAAAAGAAGTAAGTGTTTTTCCAACTACTGTTGCTTTGTATTAACTTCCATCAAAGCCAGGTGTCTTACAAAACAAGTAACTGAATAAAGGATTGAATTCCAACAAAGTGAACTTACTATAACTTAATACTCTCAGTGTGTGTCCGAATACAAAATCAGGAAAAAATATACAGTAAAAACCCGAGAGTAAGAACCTACATTTTCTGGAGTTAGCCTAAACATGTTCTTATTTAAATGGTAGTTAATACAATTTTAGGCTATTTAGGTTCTTAAATAGGTTCTTATTGCTGTTAGAAATAAACAAAAAACAAAAAAAAACAAGCTCCAAAACAAGATGGTAATCAGCCTGTTTTTCAATTTCAAAATGTGATACAACAATATTAACCTCTTGCACTTTATTTTTTAAATTACATCAATTAATTAGCACTTTCATTTTCACAGCAATGCCAAGCTCCTAATTCTCTAAACAGGATTCTTGCAAAGCTTTGCAGCTGCATTTCACTAATATGATTTTAAAAAAATAAGAACTTGTTTTTCATTTTCTAGGCTAAACAGGTTCTTAATTTTCAGGTTCTTACTCGCGGGTTTTTACTGTAATCGCAAAATTCGGTTAGAGTTTAGTCAGACAGTCTAGTCAATAAAAACTCCATTATTCCGGCAATTTCTTGTAACCAGATGCCCAAGTCGCACAGTACGTTTGGGCCACGAGTGCTCTGCATGATAAGCAATTGATTAGTCTCGCTTGCGTAAACAGCGAGACTCATAATCTGCAACTCGTTTTTCTTCGTATTTATGACACAAAAGGGGGGTGATTGTGGCAGACGTTCCTAGCGGAGACCGTGGAAACTGGGAATAAGAATCGTTGCGTGACCGAAGCCACGTATGTTTCGCGAAGAAAGCCTAGGAAAGATTAGATTTAGAGCTTTTCCGAAATGTGTTGGTCCACGAATTCTATCGCTTGAAAGCGTTGATTACTTTGGAACAAGTGAACACTTCTGAGTGGTCGGGAAAAAAATAAGAATCTTAATTAGCAACACTGCGATGGTCGGGTGTTGTAAACTTTGATTGTATGCAAATGAGTCTTGTGATGAGCATGCGGTTTATTTTCGGCGATGATTGAAATGACGTGCCATGTAAATCACTTATTTGATCTCTGGCAATGATGTAATTTGTCTGGAATCTAGGCCCTTGAATTTTCGTGTGTTTATGCACGCGTGTAGCCTGCGACCGCAGACGAATTTCCGGTCGTCGCTGACACGCGTACTAAATCGGTGCAAAAACAAATAAAAAGTAAATATCCTGAAGAATGCTCGACGTCGATGAAGAAGGAAGTAAAAAAACCTTTAGCGAGTAAATCCTGTTTCGTGTAGAATTAATCGCCTCCTCATTTCTAGATCTAATATCGAAGCAAGCAAGACTGAACGCCGCTGTAAGAGCGTTTTAATGTTAGACTTTAAATTGCCGCCTACAAGTAGCACTTAACATTTGATCGTAAATGGCCCATGCCGGCAGCACCGCTTTCAACGGAGCTATTTTTTTAAACAGGATAACATTATGTAAAGTTTTCATTAAAATATCAAGATTATTATCACACTAAAAGGAAAAATATTTATTCAATAAATTCGGAAGCTATCTTTTAGGATAATTAATCTATGGGCTGAAAACTTTAGAAATACATTCTACACACCTTTAACCTAACACACACTTAAAAACTCAATTAACTTTGTAAGACCACTTAACTCGTTTAAATCTTCAGACCTCCTAATTTTTGACTTACTTTTGAAACACCCGGTGATAACATTCTATTAGCATTTTCGATCTCTTGGAAAAGCATTTCCTTAGAACAGTGTTATATAAATGATTAACAAAGACCAGAACTTTTATCCAATATCATCCAGGCTCTCAAGTCAAATTGTCACTAGTCTTAAAAACAACCTTAATTAAATTGACTAGAGAACCTTGTAGTCCCTTAACAGTTACTAGGAGATCTCATTCTGTTGTGGTGGTTTACGACAAGAAATTGTCCGTCTAAAGCCTTCTCGGAAATTTTTAGTGCGAAAAGCGTAGATAATGGGGTTAAAACAAAAACTGGAAACAAACACAAAATCTATCACAAGTAAGACATCATAATACAACTTAGAGTTTGTCTCCACAGGAAGCCCAGATGCTACGCCTGTATAAAAAATTGCTGTTGGTGTGTTAGCGATAAAAAATCCCACAGTTACAAGTAGGAAGGTCGTAACAAGTTTTCTTTTCTCGGAGCTTCTGTCTTCATCTGTTTCCGGACATACCGTGTTTGTAAAGTAAAGTCCCCATATCAAGGAGCCATAGCAGTAGCAGACGACTGCTAGTGGGATATAAGAACTGAGGATTGTGTTTATGACCACGTAAATTTTACTTGGATAATTCATGTGTAACCTCCATGCTCCAACACATGTCGAATAATATTCGCTCCATTCATTGAGGAAGAATTCTGGAAGGCATATAAGGATGCTTACAAACCAAATGAGAGCAATGCGCTTCTTGATGTTATCTTCACTCAACCGAAGTCCTGTTCTAAAAGGTTTCAGTAAAGCGTTGTATCTTTCCACTGCTAGTACAGTAATCGTAATAGACGAAACCACTATAGATATTTCAATAAGGACGACAACTTTGCAAACGAATTTCGCAAACTCAAAGAAGTACAAAGGCCACAATACGATGGTGATAGCATCGCTTATGGCCATGCTCGCTAGAAGATAATTAGTCGGTGTGTGCATTTCTCGAGTTTTGTGCACAATTCGTATCACGAGCACATTTCCAACAAATCCAACAACATAAAATGGAATGGACGCTAAAGAGAGGCCAAATCCTAGTTCAGACATAACGACACTGCTGTGATTTTTGATGTGATACTAGACCTTGGAAGTAGAATTCTCAAGTCCTAGTAAGGTGTTTCAACGTTCCATTTTTGCCTGGTAAATTAATGTCATGGTAGGTACTTCCAAAATCAAATACTCATTAAGCATTTTACCCGAAAACGGACAACCTGTTAGTCTCCTCACCCCAACGGAGAGTAAATGAATATTGCTAACACATTCATTCAGTTCACCTCAGGCAAAATGAGTTTCGTTCCAGAGTGAAGTTCGTAACCCAGTACACAATTCACATGATAAAATTAACCGTCTCAGTCCATCAAAACTGTCACGAGAACAGAGTGAATGAATAACAAACAAAACCTTTTAGCGATGATTACTTTGAAATATCATTAGGATTCAATACAATACAGTGCGATTCATTTTATTACTTCTCCCAATTGGGTTTTTCAGAATTAATTTACAAGATTGTTCACTAAGTATAATGTGCAAAATAGGTTAAAATTCCATGTATGAAAGACAATTAAATTTGAATGCTAAAATTCTAATTATAAAAAAAATTAAAAGACTAATAAACAATTAATTACAAAGATCAACAAACTATGGATAAATTTTCTATTTCCGCCTTCTGATTATCTCAAGCCCTCACTTCTTTTAGAAACCTCAACAGAGGCAGAGTTTCTAATATCATTGGGAAGACTGTTCCAATATTTAGACGCCCTGAAACGAAAGGCATACTGTGCGGCGGAAGTTCGGCACTGACGGAGGTTAAGTTGATCGTTCTGTCTAGTGCACTACGAGTGAGTTTCTGAGCGTTTTACAAACTTAGTACTTAAGAAGCTGGGCACAAGACCATTGAGAAATTTAAAGATCATATAGTTACATCACGTAAGCATAGTAGCTCTTCGATGGTGAGCCAACCAAGTTCATGTAAGACTGGTGTCATCTGATCAAACGTTTTTGTGTTAGTAAGTATTCGGCCGGCAAAGTTTTGGATGAGTTGTAGTTTATGGATGTTTTCTTGAGAAGTTCCAGACCATATGGTCAAGCAGTAGAACAGTTTGCTAAATACTTGGGAATTTAGGATTATGTATATCTTTAGAGAACAAGTGTCGTACCCTATTTATTTGAACTAATGTTGACAAAAGATAGGAGGTTAGTGAAGCGATATGCATATTGAAGGTCAGGTTCGAGTCAAGTGTGACGCCAAGGTCTGTGACGGAAGTTACAGGTACTAGGTCTTGACCAAGGAAATTTACGGTGATGTTACTGGGCAAAATAGAGATAATTTGCCTCACCCCAAACAGGACAAACTTGTTTTTTTTTTTTTTTCAGGATTGATCAAAAGGTGGTCAAGAATTAAAGAGACCTAAAAAATGGCGGATATAATGTGGATGAAAACAATTATTAGCTGAAGCCGTCAAAATTACTATGAATTTGGATCTTTAGAAAGTCTTAGTGCAGCTATAAACTAGCATTTTTTCGATCGCCGTAAAGAAAACTCATGCAAAGCTTGTTTAATGGAAGTGTTTCAAGCCGCACTCTTGTTTTGCCAAACGAGAACCACATACTTCTTCACATTATACGAATGCCGAACTCAATAATTGTTTTTTCTCAATTCAAAATATTTCCAAATTATTAACAAGCTTACCTTGATCTCGTAGACTTTCTTTAAATTTTTGCCTATTTCTCTGCCCGGCCTTTTCAGGCTGTAAACAGATGTTTTTTTCCTTGCATATACTCCTTAATACCATCGAGCAATATGTTTTGGGTATTCTTGCATTTCTTCTGTCCAGTTTTTGTCAGAAATTCAGCTATTTCTTCTTCGGATAGCTTGCGTAGCCCTAAATGCCTTTTTTTAGTCCGCTTGTGAAAACGAGGTTGATCGATGGTCTATTGCCTATGCGCAGCCTCGTTTCCAATCAAATATACTATCGAATCGACGGTATATTGCTTGCATCTTCCAAATATGGTTAGTGCCCGTTGGTCTTGAAGAATTAGTCGAGGGATTGCCAATCAGCCAATCAGAACTAGACTAGGAGCAGACTAATATTTTTTCCTTGCAAAAGAAGGTGAAGAAAATTGTTAATACAACGCTAGAAAATGCAATTTCATCGCAAGACTCGTGCATGAAGAAGTGTACAAAGTATAAGGAGTATGTATCATCGACACAAGCACATGAAAAATGCGTTGACCAGCTACGAAAGAAGCCACTCGCCGAAATGTTCATCCGAAAAAAGCGAAAAGGAATATAAACCACCAGCAATGCATCTAGCTCAAAATCAAGGAGTATCAATCACTCTATTCAATCCAGGTATCAGTATAACCGGTTCTGATCTCGGAAGATGTTATCCACCTCGGCCTTTATAAGTTTTCACATCTTACTCAGCCTCATTCAAAAAAAGTTAACTGCTTAGTTAAATCTGCCGAGACGAATCATTACTGTGACTTGATCCTGGATGCCAAAGGAAATGCGAAAAAAGTCTAGAATGCGGTCAATGAATCTTGCCAGCGCAACTCTACTTCAGAAAGTATCCAGTGCATTATGATGGAACTAAGCACACTACACCTAAATCTTCAGCAATGAATAGCTTTTTCTCGTCTAGTGGTAAGCGACTGGCTGAACATAACGACAACTACCTGGTGGAGTTGTAACTCAAGTAAAGAGCTGCTGGAAGTCCCATTTTCAGTTCGCTGAATTAGAGGAATCGTTTGTGCTTCAGTAGCCTCTCGCCCTGGGGACAAATAAGGCGATTGGCTTGGAAAACTTAGTGCACGATTGTTCAAAAAGTCTGCTTATACGATTGCACTATCTATATGACTAAGTTACTGAATCTACCAATTAAAACTATAGTAACTTTCCTAAATTATGGAAATGTTCTAAAATTATAGCCCTTTTTTAGTCAGGGGAAGGTAAAAATACATCAAACTATCGACCTATCTCTATTCTGCCTACACACGGCAAGATTCTCTATAAAGCTGTTCGTGAAACTGCAGTTCTACCAGTTCTTGGTTGCCAATAAGCTTCTAATCGATCTATAAAAAGCAGATTTCCAGTTGGCAATGACACGAGTAAGTAAACTAAAGATTAAAAAAAAAATCGCACCTCCTTTTTACTGGTCCGCGAGGTTTAAAACACGGTTCAATGCCCTCACACTTACTGATAAAAAAATTGCTCTCTTTAAGTAAAAACCACACGAGCTTGTTGCTAACTTATCGCACATGCAAGTGCAGTATAATAAGCAACTGTTCGTTTTTATATGAAGCAAAAAGATCACACCTGTTTTATTCAAAGTGCGTTGTCGAGCAAAGACAAAAACCTGTTGTTTGAGAACATATTCTTGGCCGCTTGCATGGATAACTACGACTAAACTTTGCAGCAACAGCATAAAAGCATCAGGAGAAGTCAACGCAGGCGGCGGGTTAATGCAAAAAATAAAAGCAATGATGGAACTAAAAAAACAAATTTTCAGTTCACTGCCTCAAAGATTAACAATTTGTTGACCTCTTTACTGCATATGAAAATGCTTCTTCTAGAAGAATAGCTCTCTCTATATAGCTCCTTTGACTATTTCCGTCGGTGCCCCAGTGAGATTTCTTTCTTCACAGATCAATTAGCACTCCCCACCCTCCGTGGTACACAAGTTTGCCAAGCCGAAGGTTTCCGATTATTCAAACAAGCTTCGGGTCGGTCTGAGAAGGTGTCACCTGAAACAAAAGATCTATTCTTTTAAGTTTGATGGGTAAATTCAGGTCGGTACAATAGACCATTTCTTGATACGCTCAAGCAAGCAGTTTGAATTCCGGAAAGAACTTTCAACTACATCTGCTCTGACATCCTTTTCGATGAAGTCCTTTTTAACATGGAACAGGGTAGCCTGTTCCAGGTGTTCAGATCGTGAGGACAGCGCAAAGAGATGTGAGCAGAAAACAACAACAACAACTACAACAACAACAACAACAACAACAACGGGGGGTAGGGGTAGGGGGTGAGAGTGAGGGAACGCCTGTAAGACGTTTTAACAAAACCTCGTTTCGGTATACCAGATTCTGGTATACCCTATGACTGCTCTTGTTTGACAGCTCTTGTCAGCACTAAGGGTTCAATACGTTGATTGGAAATGTGGTGCGCTAGCAATGACATTACATATCAGGTTACTTTGAAAGCGTGGTGAAGTGATTCGAAATAAGCAACACGGTTGATGTGGAATATCATCCCTGAAGAACAGGGGAAGTCGTTCTTAGGTAGGATCTAGTCAACAGAAAGAAGGGCTTCCGATTTTACCACTTATCGGCTTTTAAACGAGCTCTTTCCTTTTAGTTCTCTCCAGGAATATTAAATAAGGGGCATGAACCTTCTTAACCTTCTTTTGATATGAGTCTTTGTCTAGCCTGCGAATACAGCCGTTTCACTTTGGCCTTGTTCCTCCCCGCTAGGGACGTTTCTCCTTAGCGGCTACTCAAGCACAACAGTTTAACAGAGTCGGAGTCGCTACAACAGAAGGGAAGCGTGGGCAAATTGGCTTGGAATGTATATAGAAGACAAGAAAATGCAGCTTTTTTAGCCCTGAAATCCTGAAAGCTGGCTGGCATTCAGCTGGATATTTTGAAAGCCAATTTTGTGAAAACGAACAAATGCGCTAGTCTGGGGACGTGCTTTTGAGATCTCTAGCCGTTTAACACGTCTCCCGTTTGGGGATAAAAGAGGAGAACAAGTGACGTCTTTTTACTAATAGTAAAGTAGTAATAGTAGCAGTAACAAAGGAAATTTCGCTATTGGAACAAAAATTGCGCAGCTGTTCATCAAAGGTGAATAATTAGTTAATATAACTTATTGCTGACGCCATGAAGTGACAATTCCTCTTATAATCAAAACAAAACAAAAAAGAAATTAATGAGTAAGAACCTTGTTTTTAATATGCTGTTTTTTATGCATGATATTTCGCCGTTAAGAAATCTTTTTAGTAGGGTCAAATGAAATTCACAGATAATATAATTATAGCTAGGCATATATGCTACTAGAGGTAGTAAGGGGAGCAAGGGTGGTGCAGTGGTGAGAGCGCTCGCCTCCCACCAATGTGGCCCGGTTTCGAATCCTGGCGTCGACGCCATATGTGGGTTGAGTTATTGTGAGTTCTCTCCCTTGCTCCGAGAGGTTTTTCTTCGGGTAAACCGGTTTTCCCCTCTCCTCAAAAACCAACACCTCCAAATTCCAAGTCGATCTGGAAAGCACGGACACGTTTCAACGAGTGCGTAAGAACTCCTATGTGCTCCGTGGGTAAGCAAATTACAAAAAAAAACTCACAAAAAAAGGTAATTATCATCAGAAAGAGGTAAAGTACGTTGGAAATTTTCAAACGCTCATTTACAAGAACCGGAGCAAAAGTATGGAACCTAATTCCTTTTGACCGGAGAAATGCTTCTAAATTAAATGCTTTTTTTGGAGAAAAATTTTGGATAAGGGCGACTATGTTGAAGTCGACAATTAAATTGGTTCAAAGACAACATGCCCCGCGGGCTCTTCAAAATAGATGTAGGCATTAATAATTAACTAATTAAGCCGTACAGGGTATCAAATTGTTTTCTTTTTGTAGAATTATTTTGCTAGTTTTCTTGTTTTTTTCTTTCTTTCTAGTTCACTTTACCTTGCGCCTAGATTAGCTTAAGCTAAGTGCGGTTTGGGTGAAATATTTCCTTTTCCCTTTTCAGTTTAATTTATTACTTGTAAACTTTTTCATGTGAAATAAAGTGTTGTTGTTGTTGTTTCCGGTTTTCTACGATGATCGCATTTTGTTGAGAAAAACTATATTTATGCCATCTTTGAAACTCACAGGCCCGGGAAGGCACCGTACTTTCAAGCCAAACTTAATTTAACTTTGTCTAGCTTAGCATTTGCCCAAACGGAATCGAACACTGCTGTTTTTGATAATCACAAAACTTCACGAACGCGACTTGGTTTGAATTTCTAATCGCCACTTAATATTTTATGATCGCAGAGGGAGAGCAGTGAATGCTATTGCGGCTGTTTAAGATTTTCTCACTAAGAACTTTGCGATCGCCTTTATTGACTAATCTACTCAGCCGTTTTGTAATAACAGGTTACAAGCCCTATTTACTTTAAAAGCGAGTGAAAGTTTTCTTATAGCCATTAGATAAGGGGACAAAGATTTTTCAAAAACAGCTTCTTTTTTTACCAGTTAAGAACAAGAAAATGAAGCAAGTGTTCACCAATGAGAACTTGTTAACATATTGTTTTATAATCTTACTTTGACTTGAAAGGCGTCGCCGCCTTCTAGTTCAATTGAAAAGTAGACTGCAGTGACTTTGCGTGGGCGGCATTCAAGAGTCAAAGTTGGGGAGGAAGAGATAAGAGTGGTACAGTGTACATGCTTACATACAATAAACTGAACATAGCGATTGTGCTTTGCGTAATAAATAAAGTATAAAAACGTGTTGAGAAACTGTGTATGTTTCCACCCGTATGGTGCATTTACAAAGAAGAGGCTTATTCGAAAAGCGATAGCCATTTGTGGATTTAAGAAAAAGTTATTTTACGCAACGTAAACACGATAAACAGGTGCTATTGTAAAAAATTATCAGGACTAGCGTTTATCACCAACTATCACGCACACATTGAATTTATCATTGCGCCCAGCAGTGCCTATAGGTGGTTTTCATGCATATTCGGGAGCCACAAATAACAATGGTGAAATGAACAAATGCTGGTGGACAAACAAAGCGAGCTAATGAGCGATCTTTTGTTTACTGTCCACCAGCATGGCGGCGATGACGTAACGTGAAAACCACTTATAGCATTTTGCATCTATGAACGAGTGTAGTTAAGGGTTGTTATGACTAACAAGAAAAATAAAAAACAGTACATGGAGTGTAATATTGAAATATATTAATTTGTTGGGTATAGAATAATTAACTTCATAAATTATCAGAAACTTTTTTCAAGTTGGATTATTCAAGTTACACTTTTCTACTACTCATTTGTTATTTTTATTATTTATTTATTTATTATTTAGAGGGCCACAAGTTTATTAGCCCCGGCTATTTCGTGCTAACCCTCATAAAATAAAGTCTTTACTTACTTACTTACTTACTTACTTACTTACTTACTTACTTACTTACTTACTTACTCTATACAGTTTCCCAAGAGGCTTTGTTCGGCCAAAGCTAATTGGGGTCCTTTAGCTAAAAATACACTACATCAAATAAGACAAAGCAAGAACGCTACTATATAAAGAGAGGCAATATAGATGAAACACTTTAATTAGTTCAAAGACAACATGCCCCCCCCCAGGCTCTTCAAAATAGATGTAAGGTATTTAGTAAGTTAGACTATTCTTAGCTAATAATTAGGCCATGCATGGTATCAAATTTTGCTCTCTTGGAAATATTATTATAATGGCTAGTTTTCTTATTTTTTTCCTTCTAGTTCACTTCACCTCCCGCCTCGATTATCTTAAGCTAACTGCAGGTTGCGTGAAACGTTTGCTTTTCTCATTTCAGTTTACTTTATTTTATTTCTCGCAAACTTTTTCATGTAAAATAAAGTCAGTTGTTGTTCTTGTTGTTGTTAGTATTGGCATTCTAAGATCGCATTTTGTTCAGAACAAATTATATTCATACCATCTTTGAAACGCATAGGCCCGGGAAGACATCGTACTTTCGAAGTCGATGAAGTATGCTTCTTTCTTTCAAAGGTCATGAGGACAGTGAATGCAGCACGTGATATACTAGAATCCTAAATCTCGTTTTATAAATCTTGCTGCTCGTCTCTGGACCGCTTCAACCACAAGTGGCCCAAACGTACTGTGAGAGTCTGAGAATCTGGGTACTAGAAATTGAATAATGGAGTTTTTTATTGAATAAACCCTAGCCGAAATCTTTCAATTAACATGTACAAATTAAGCTTGAAATAAAGTGTTATTATACCTCTCAAAGTCTTATTCGTTTTTTTTGCCCCTTTGAGATCTGTAATAGGCGAGTTTCGTATTTCCAGGCGGCCTAGGACGAGCGCTTGTTTTTGCGCGAAAGCGAGGCTAATGCGGGTCACTTCTCACCAAGACGACAAACAAACATTAGAAAACTGCGGCTGAGTTGGCGAGAAAAAGGAAAATTTGAAATGTTGAAAGGTTTTGAAGGTCTCAAAACTTTACTTACCGACTTGAGAAATCATTGTTTCATTGAACAGCAAAAAGGAAAATCAGCTCGTCATCACTAAGAAAAACAACGAGCATGACCAGAAATTGACCGAAATAGTGGTCGGTGACTGAGTTCAATAAAAATGCGAAGATGGTTTCAAAACCCTTAAAAAAGGCAATATCCTGAAGTCACTTTAATGGTATTTTTATTGATGGTTGAAACCACTTTAAGCCATACCTTCCATTAGAGTGTAGGTACTTGTCGAAAGTTTGCAAGTTAATCTGAAACCTTCTTTTTAGTTGACATTTTTTCTAACAGAGCGAATGCAAAATCTTGCGTACTTGAAAAAAAAAAAAAAAAACCGACAGGGCGGACGTTCTGCATAAATTCCTTGCACTGTAAGGAAATAAATCGGTTTAACCGAAGATGACTTAAACAGTAAACAGTATACATGTAAATAAGCTTACATTTAGCTTACATTATTTATGAAAATGTACGCACATTTCATTCGACAAGAGCTCGAGCACAAAATTTTATACAGATCAAGATATACTGAACAGTTTAAACTCCATTTTACTGATAAACACAAGAGTAAAATAGAATACTTAGAAGTAAGAAAATTAAAGGGAATAAAATATTGTCATTTTAACAAATTTTACCCTGTTCAAGCTTAAAAAGTTTACATGTTCGAAACACCTGGTGACAACATATTCAGTAGCATTTTCGATGTTATTGCAAACGCATTTGTTTAAGCCAGTGTCTTATAAGTTATTCACAAAGACTAAAAGGTTTACCCAATATCATCCAGGCTCTCAGTTCAAATTGTCACTAGTCTTCAGAACAACCTATTAAACTAGAGAACGGAGTGACCCCCTTGACGGTTACAAGGTGATCTCATTCTGTTGTGGCGGTTTGTGACAAGAAATTATCCGTTTGAAGCCTTCTCGGAAATTTGTTCTGCGAAAAGCGTAGATAATGAGGTTAAAGCATAAACTGGAAACAAACACAAAGCCTATTAAATTTAAGACATCATAACACAACTTAGAGTTTGTCTCCAAAGGAAACCCAGCTCAGATGCTGCGCCTGTATAAAAAAAATTGCTGTTGGTGTGTTACCGATAACAAATCCCACTATTACACTTTTACTTCCAGTTTGAAAGGCGGGAATCGCCGCTTAAGGTCTCCGAAAAAAGCGCTACCTTCTAATTCAGTTAAAAAGGGAGCTACTTTAACTGGGCGGCATTCAAGAAATGCAGTTGCGGAGGAAGAGATAGATTCGGAACACTGTGTGCACACCCACGATAAATTGAATTTAGCGATTGTGCTTCGCGTAAGGAAAAAAATGTAAAAGGAATCGGAAAATGTGTATTTTTTTTGAAAGTAGAATGGGATGTCAATTTGCAAAGAAGACGTTTAGTCTAAGAACATTATAAATAATAAGTTAAATCTTAGAAAAAGTTGTTTTCTCAAAGGGAACTCGACAACTGACTCGACAAACAGGGGCCATTGAAAAAATATCGAGTGGCCTATTCAGAACTATCAATTACGCTAAGTTTATAACTGCAGATTACTCAGCATACCTACGATATTGCACTCATAAAACAGGTGTACACTGTAGTTAAGGGATGTTATGAGTAAATACGGTAAATGGAGTGTAATATTGAGACACTGTTAAGCAATTCTTCAAACTTAAAAAACACCCCCTCAAGCTAAAACTTCACTTTATATAGGGACACAATATGGATGAAAACTATAACCTGGAATATACTTTTTTCTACTCAAGCATTCCGTTCTTAGTCATTGGATTGATGGGAAATTTATCAATAATACGAATTGTTTGCAAACTACGGGAGATGCACACGCCGACAAATTATCTTCTGGTTAGCATGGCCGTCAGTGATGTCATCGCCATTTTGTTGTGGCCTTTGCAGTTCTACGAATTCTGGAAAGTCGTTTCCAAGTTAGCAGAGCTCATTGAAGTCTGTATACTAGTTTCCTCTTTTACTATGACTGTTCTAGCGGTCGAGAGATATCACGCCATATTGAAGCCGTTAAGAAATGGACTGTGCTTAAGAGAAGACAACGTCAAGAAGGCAATCGCTTGCATTTGGATTGCAAGTTTTCTTTTATGCCTCCCAGCGACCTTTTTCAAAGAATGGAGCGAAACTTATGAGACATGTATCGGTCCATGGACTTTATACTCGAATCGAGGTAGCAAAGCTTGTGTGATTTTAGATGTAGTTATATCTTTTATTCAACTAGTTATTATGGTATACTGCTATTGTTTCTTGATAAGGGGACTTTACTTCGCCAACACAGTCTGTCCAGACACAGGTGGAGAAAGGAGTTCTGAGAAGAAGAAACTTGCTATCACGTTCGTGTTGGTAACTATTGGATTTTTTATAGGTTATACACTAACCCTAGTTTCATACGTGATCATTCCATCAGGAGATGAAGAGATAGATGTTAGTTTTTACGGTCAACTTACGGCTGTAGTGGATTTTGTATTCGTTGTAAGTTTATGTTTCAACCCTTTTATCTACGCTTTTCGCAGCACTACCTTTAAAGAAGGGTTCAAACAAGTAATTTTATGTAGAAATCCCCAAAGACACGATGAGAGTTGCTCAGCTTAGTTAAACAAAGGTTATACAGTGTATACTGTATCGATTGTTGACCAATGAGGTACCATTTCGTCGTTTTGGAATTACCGGTTTTTCGCTATAACAAACTGCGATGCAGGCAAATGTCTTGATTTCCGGTTAAAACATTTAGCGGGTGGCCAAGAACATTCCCAGTTACGGGAGACAATCGTAGCCCGCTTAAATTTCTACCTTAGCCTGCTGCTTAGCAGGTGGTTCCGAGAAAAAAGGTTTAGAACAGCGTAGGCAAATACACATTAATTGAACCAAGCCAAAAGAACATGTAAAAATAAGGAACTTAGCCATACATTTTTTGTTAATGTATTATTTGCATTTGAATCTTTGTACCTATTTTATACTCTCTAAGCACGCTACAATTATATTCGCTTTGCAGCTTCTTCGTATGAGATAGAACCATAAATTATGAGCATTGTTTGATACGAGTCTATGTACAGGAAACGGAAATAAATGCAAAAAAGATGGGTTTTTATGCCGGTATATATTTGCCTCACGTGTATTTAACAATTATATTTATTTAGCTTCGCCTAGCTAGAATACAATCTTTATAAATGAATACATAAAAATTAATCCTCGAGCCCGAATGGGCTCTGAGTCAATAGTCCACGAGGCCGAAGGCAGAATAGGCTATTGACTTAGAGGCCATGAGGGCGAGAGGAATAATTGTTTAAGTAAAATCCAACCAGTTGGTCAAAAATATCGAGACAAAACAACTTAAGCTAGCAAAACGGGATTCAGCTACCATTGTTTTGGTTTTCAAAGCCGGCGCTTTACGCTACTAGGGGGCTGTAATATATAGCCTAGTAGTAGCTCAACCAATCAGAACGCAGCATTGATAAGAGACCACTAGTTTGATTTTACTAAAAGGTATAAGTCTTCATTACATGTAAATTGAGCCCGAAAAATACTCAAAGGATAATTTTATGAAAGAACTAAGAAAAATTCCAACTGAAAAACTTGGTTACAGACAGGCTGCAGCCGGACCGTATCTTCACGTTTCTGCTAGAAGAGGGAACAAAAAAAACAGGTTTCCGGTACGGAATTCCACGTTTCCGCAACATAAAGACAGGATAATGATTGCGGAAATACGTGATTCCTGAAACGGAAATCTGTCACAGACATGTTAAAAAGTGCTCCGATTCGGTTGTTAACGTAGAGACGGAAACATGAAAAACCGTAAAGTATACGCCAACGGAAACAAAAGGTAGCCGCTGTGTTTTCGCAACGGAGTCGCCTGTTTCTGTGTTTTCGCCCTGTGGCAATGTGTATTTTTTTCTAATCGTGTGGAGCATTTAGGACAGAAAAAAAATCGTATTCTAAGAAAAACAATTCTTTGTATCTAAGAATAATTTGTTTTCGCAGCAGGAGCTCGAAAAGGCGCCTAACATTTAATAATGTGACATCGATCTCGACAGCGGTAAGGTGTATTGTGATGACGCATATCAATTATCCTAACTTATCAAAAATGCGAAATAGAAGAACAACGGAAAAGCAGCAAGTACTTTTTCCTCTTTTCTATAAAGTGTATTTCCTTTCTTGTATTTCTGACTGTTATCTTTGAAATAATTTTCAAATCGAGAGCTATGCCATTTGAACCGAATCTAGATCTGGATATGACAGTCAAAACTTTCATCAAAGAAATTATAAAGTAGCCTATTAGGAACCGTCAAAAAAAAAAAAAAAAAAACATTCTGGTGCATGCAGTGTGATGACTGCAATATACTGATTTGCTGAGTATAGAATAATTTATCCTCATAAATTATCTGAAACTAGTTAAAATTGGATTTAAGTTGGATTTTTTCTTTATAAAAAAAGACTTTGTACAGCCACAAATAACTGCAGTTTTCAAACCCAAAATATACTTCATCAATTTAATAAGACTAAGGCTGGAATGGTTCAATACTAGGCGAGAAACATGGACGATGAAAACTATAACCTGGAAGATACCTTATTCCATTCAAGTATCCCGTTCCTTGTCACTGGATTAATCGGAAATGTGTTCGTAATACGAATTGTTCACTAAAAACGGGAGATACACACGCCGAGGGTGGTGTGCGGTTTTCAGTGATGTTGTTTGGATCTACCGATTTCAGCCTACTAGTGTAATCAAACTTGATTCAAAAGTATTTTTTTCTTAGCTCGATGGAAGAGATTTACATTTTCGGTCTCTTAGCGGGATATCTATATTTTTTTTCTTCAATTATTAATCATCTCTTCCCTCAAAAGGTGAATAGAGGGCTCCTAATATTATACTGTAGACTTGGGGATTTCTTGCTAATTGCTTAAGGTTTTACTATAAGCAAATAAATGGGAGCCGCGCTTTTAGGCTTGAATTAATCTATAAATTGTACATGAGAGTGCCAAACTTGCCTACATTCAAAAAATAACACAAAAATTGTGCAACACAAAAATTTTGCAAGATTTCAAGGGTTCCTTGGTATTTCTAAGTAGATACTGTAAATATTCTCCAGAGAAATCAGACTTCGGTATCCTGTGGTATTTGGGCCCAAAATAAGAAACCCTCCGCTTAATTTAAAACGTTTACCACCACATACCAATTATTATTTAGAGGGTAAAAATTCACCACAATCCAATTTCAAACCTTTTCTTATCCGGCTTTTGGTGGCGTCTGCCACCAGACTAAAAACATTGGAATTTTCAGTTGGGGGGTCACTGCCTATCCGCATCTTTAAACGAGTGCTCGATATTTTTTAACCTTGCTTAAGAAACCGCTGATTGTGTTAATCACTCCACAGAACATTGCGAATTTTCACGAAAAACGTCACATATCATCTGGTATAGCATCAATTACCAGCCTTAATGAATGCAAAAGTCGATCAGTGATCTACCCTCAACAAACACGAAGCATCAAGTAAGCTAAGCTATTTAAAGTTGGTCTGCCAACTTTGTCTTATTGATCAACTACGGATTGAAGCATGACCGACATCGTTAATCTTCCATTAGCGGGAATCCCGTTACTTGTCATCGGATTGATCGGAAATCTTCTTTTGGTGGTACGAATTTTGCATAAGACACGAGAAATGATGAGCAGTGATTAGAGGACTTTGCTTAAGTAAAATAGTGTACCCAGAAACCGACGGAGAGACGACATCAGAGAAAAGGAAACTTTCTATCACTCTGATCTTGGCTACTAGAGGGTTTTTAGTGGGTAACACGCCATATCTGTTGTATTTTTGGGCATTTAAAGTAACAGGAAGTGATAGAAACGAAGACTTTCTAAGCATAGCGGATTTATTTCTTGTTTGCCGTTTCGTATCATTTATGAATTTCGTGGAAAAAAATTCCGAGAAGGCCTTAAACGAATGCTGTTTTGCTGGAAATCGACAACACAGAACGAAATTCCTTCTCGACTGAATAACTAACTGCTTCTCTCAGCTGTTTTCGTCATTAAATAAAAATTAAAAAATTTTCGCCGTTTTTACGAAATAGTGTTTTCGTACAGAAAGCTTTGACAGCACAACAGTGTTGACTTTTACTTTTCGCTTCTCTCCTCCCCTCTTCTTTCGCTTTTCTTGCCCCTCATTTCTCTCCTTTGCTGGGCCGATTTTTTGGACGGACGTTACATGTTTTTTGGCCTTTTTTTCAGGTGTCCTTGACTGAATCGTGCTCATTCTGGAATAGTTTCAAGGATATATTCTTCATGTTCGCATGGTGCATTTGCACACAAGACGTATATTCAAAGAACGATAATCATTTAAATCTTACTGAGTAATTTAGGCCCCTTGATTGACACAAACATGGCGTCTCTATTCAAAGCTTTACTTTTGGGTAAAACGTTTTTCCGAATATCTCGCATATGAAATATTGCACAGACCTGATTCTTGGCAAGGCTTTTTGCATATTTATCTTCTTTCATTTGCCAGATTCTAGGCTTTCTGTATTTAAAGGTTTTCATTTTTAATTTTGATGGCGTGACAGTAAAAACCAACTAAACAATGTTACTCGATCTCAAGGTTGATAATATACCCTGGTCGATTATTTTTCTATAAAACACATATCAGTTATCCTAACGAGTCATGGAATTATGCTAAATAGAAGACCAGCTGGCAATTAGAGAGAGCTGAAAGGACTTAGGATATGAAAGTCATAACTCAGTTTATCGAAGTTAGTAGCCTATTAGGAACTACAGCTGTAACACGTAAATACGGTCAGCACTGCTATTAACGAGTGTATTAGGGCTTTGTTGAATACGGCACCTGCAATGTGATATTAAAATAGTTATATTTGTTGAGTATAGAATAATTCATGATCTGCATGCATTACAGGAAACTTGTTAAAGTTTGATCTAAGTTGTATTTTTTCATAAAAAGGGTTTGTAGAAACAATTAACTGCAATCTTCAATCCCAAAATAAACTCCTTAAGACAAAGCTAGAACGTTTCAAAACAACGCGATGCAATATGGATAAAATTTTTAACCTGGAATATACCTTATTCTTTTCGAGCATCCCGTTCCTTGTCATTGGATTCATCGGAAATGTGTTGGTAGTACGAATTGTTCACAAAACACGGGAGATGCACACGCCGACAAATTATCTTCTGGTGAGCATAGCCGCCAGTGATATTATTTCCATTTTGTTGTGGCCGTTGTATTTCTTTGAAGTTTGGAAATTCATTTGCAAGTTAGTTGTGCTCGTTGAACTCTGTATAATGGCTTCCTGCTTTACTATAACTGTACTAGCGGTGGAAAGATGTCACGCTTTATTAAAGCCTTATAGAACCGGACTGCGCTTAAGAGACGACAACGTTAAGAAGGCGATCGCTTGCATTTGGGTCGCAAGTATTCTTATATGTCTTCCAGAAACTTTCTTTAAAGAATGGAGTGAAACTTATGAGACATGTATTGGTCCCTGGACTTTATACCTGAACCAAGGTAGCAAAGCTTGTGTGATCTTAAATGTAGTTGTATGTTTTCTTCAACTGGCGATCACAATGTACTGCTACGGATCTTTGATAAGGGGACTTTACTTCACCGACACGGTGTGTGCAGAAACAGATGGAGAAAGGAGATCTGAGAAGAAGAAACTTGTTATCACGTTTATATTAGTAACCATTGGATTTTTTATCGGTAATACACCAACTATAGCTTCATACGTAATCATTCCAGCAGGAGATGGAACGACAGACGTTAGGTTTTATGGTCAACTTACGTCTGTTGCTGATTTTATATTCTCTGTAAGTTTATGTTTCAACCCTTTTATCTACGCTTCTCGCAGCACTAATTTTAAAGAAGGGTTCAAACGAGTAATTTTACGTAGAAATCCCCAAAGGCACGATGAAGTTGCACAGCGTTAAGCGAGAAGTGATGTTTTGAATTGTAAGTATATCGCTGAGATACCATTTCTTCGATGCAGAATTACTGACATTTCGTTTTGACAAACGCGTGTGATGCCGGCAGACAGATGGTTTTTTTTTTCAGAGAATAGAGCATACACTTTCTCCTAAGAAAAGAGTTGGATTTGAACCTTCAAATTTCCTAAAAGTATATAGAAGTACTGTATTAGCTGAAGCAAGTTTTTTCTAAACTTTTTTATGTTGCTTTTGCTAACCTTTAGTAGTTAAATAGCATTTTAATACTGTTGAATCTGCCTTTCGTATAACCTGAAATAAAATATGTGGATATCCACTCAGCGCCTATTGTTGGTTAAGCAGTGAGATATTTGTGAATTTGAACACAGCTAATTCGAGAGAGGTTCAGGGGCGGATCCAGGATTTTTTTTAGGAGGGGGTGCACTCGTCTCTTGCTCTACTTCAACACCAATAAATCACATAGTTTCTTTTTTTTTTTTGCAGAATACCAGTTGTATTAGAAAACCGCAGGTCATCTTAAATAATAAGTGTTGGTGTATGATTATATATTTTTTTGTGTGGATTATTTTTCTTCATGATATCCTAATAAACATACAAGTTTGTTTTTTTTTGTTTTTTTTTTTATCAAAGCAATTGGTGTAGAAAAAACGGCGGGCGGGGTGCGGGGGGGGGGGGGGGGGGGTGCGCACCTCCTGCACTCTCCCCCTAGATCCGCCCCTGAGGTTGTCGGATAAAGTGCACGCGACAATCCCGAAAGGTATTGTGGGAGATTTTGAGTTAACTGTTCTTCACAAAAATTTGAAAGAATGGTTCGAGCGACGATGGATGTATGTTTGCGAGTGCTAAAGGAAACTGAAACAAAAGTAGGTTCGACAGCTATGTAACAGTTCAGGAACAGTGTATTGATCATATCCCATATTACCCTTCATGATTGTCGTGTGCACATTTCCTCCGACAACCTTTCTAGAAATAGCTGTATGATTTACAAAATAAGGTAACCAATGTGTACTTTCGCAATGTGTAATAATCATCGCACTTTGTAATACCTGTCGTCGCAAATTTTAGTAAACTTTGTCGCACTTTGAAATAAAACAGCTGTGACGATCGCAGTTTGTAATAATCAGGGGCGTGTTAGGGAATGTTTGATTGGGGGAGAGGGGGAGGAGTCCAAACTTTGGTTCAGAAAGGACCGTTGAACTTTATTGTGGCAGATTACTTCTCCCCCACACCTCCTCCCACCAGTCGCGGTTGAGAAAGTAGAGACGACCACGTGTTTTTCAATCTATGAACATCTGTAACAAATATTAGTTAAAGATCCTAACTTATAAGAAATGCAGAATAGAAGAACAGTGGAAAGCAGCAAGTGCTCTTTTTTCTCTTTTCCAAAAAATCTATTTCCTTTTTTGAACTTCTGACTGTCATCTTTGAAAAAATTTTCATATCGAGAGCTATGCCATTTAAACTGAATCTAGATCTGAATATGAGTCAACACTTTCATCAAATAAATTAAAAAGCAGCCAATTAGGAACCGTCACGTGCACCAACACATGAGGTCAGCACTGCATGTCTACATGCATTTACCCAGAACGAGTGTGATTAGAGTTATTTAATATGAGAAAAAAAAAATATTTCGGTACATACAGTGTGATGACTGCAATATACTTATTTGTTGAGTATAGGATAACTTAATATCCTCACAAATTATCTGAAATTTGTTCATGTTGGATTTAAGTTGGACTTCCTTCATAAAAAAAGACTTACCACCAATGCTTTTATTGTGTTAGGTTTCTTTTTTGTCAACTTCAAGTTGTAGTTTTCGTTTTGTTGCAGATTGTCTTTTGAGAATGTTAACTGTACGTGTGTATGTTCAATAAAGTTGTATTGGAAAAGAAAAGAAAAAACAAAGGAAAAAAACAACAAAGAAACAAAGTAAGCTAAGTTATCTCAAGTTAGTCTGCCAATGTACAACTGTTTTTTTAATTTGTCGTATTGATCAACTTGATTGAAACATGACCGAAACCATTAATCTTCCATTGGCCTTTTTTGACGCGTTAATCCCGTTCCTTGTCATCGGATTGATCGGAAATCTTTTGGTCGTACGAATTGTGCATAAGACATGAGAAATGCACAGTGCGACAAATTACCTTCTCATGAGTGTAGCTGTTAGTGATGTTATCACCATGATGCTGTGGCCACTGTACAGCTTTGCCTTCGCAAAGTTGCGTTGCGTGCAAGTTTTCTACGCTTGCTGAAATCGGCATCAAAGTTACACTGTACCCTGATATAATAATGAAATTCACGCTCCGTACGTGCTAAGAATACGGACTGTTAGCAATGCTAACGGTTTGTACGTAGCGTAGCAGTGGTAATGCATTACAATATGAATTGTTAAAGAACATGACAGCGTGACAGTTTTTAAAGCAGTCAAGTTTACCAAATCTTTGAAAGATGTTACCGCAGTGCGAAATTCCGCCAAGAAAAATGATGGCAAGTCAGCTTTGTTTCAAAATTATAACAATGCGTGCGTTTCCTTAACGCTTTAAAGTGGATAAATATAATTACAGAACAAAGCAGACTTAGATGCACTATATGCTCTTTGGGCCCAAATAACACAAACAACCTATAGCACAATTTTACTCCACTTACCCTTCGTACCAGGTATTTGTCAGGGGTAGAGTCTGCTACCATCCCCTTTTAACCCTTTAAGCCCTAAGAATGATCAGCATCAAATTTCTCCTTGTAATATCAATGCTTTGTAAAACAGAGTGCTCATGAGAATTACGGACATAATCACCCAAGATGAATTTGCCTGACATTTTATCATTTTCTCCCCACAACTTCTGTAGGAAATGAATAGGGCCAACAAATGAGAATTCATATTTTGATCTTAGGGTTTAAAGTGTTAAACCTCTTCTGAAATTCGTATGTTGTGAAAAAATCCCCATTTTCTGGCTTTTGCTAACAGACTTATTTACCACTGTTTTAAGGTTGAAATTTTTGATTGCGGTCACCGCTTGTTATATTCCTTGTATCTTTAAGAAAGCGCTCAATAATAACTTTTGTGTTAACCATTCTACAGATATTCCTAATTTTCCCGACAAACGTCAACGCCACTGTTATGAAAATAATTACCAGCCTTTTAAATATTAATTGCAAAGTCTATCAATGCCTGTCATGATTTACACGCAAAGAAACTGGAAACGTTATATAAGCTCATGTTGATGTATAAGTGAGATTGTCAGCGTTCCACAACCTTAAACTGTGTCGTATTGACCAACTTCTGGCCTGAAGTATGAACCAGACTGAAAACGTCCCTTTTCACGCGGGGATCTCGTTTCTTGTAATTGGATTGATTGGAAATCTTTTGGTCATACGAATTGTGCATAAGATGCGAGAAATGCACACCCCGACAAATTATCTTCTGGTGAGTATGGCTGTTAGTGACGTCGTCACCATATTGCTGTGGCCAGTGTACTACTTCGAATTCTCAAAGGTCGTTTGCAAGTTTGTTGCTCTTGCGGAAGTTAGCATCGTGGTTTCTTACAATACCCTTACTGTGCTGGCGGTGGAAAGATACCACGCGATTCTGAAGCCATTCGCAACAGGACTGCGGTTAAATCACTTGTATTTGGATCGCAGGTTTCGTTACAAGTTTTCCGCAATTCTTTCTAAAAGAATGGAGCGAGACAAACTCCACATGCATCGGTCCCTGGACCGTACAGATGAATGAGGCACGCAAAATTTATGTCGCCATAAATCTCACCATAACCATTATTCAATTGGTGTTTATGTTGTTCTGCTATATATGGGTGCGTGATTAAGGGACTTTACTTTAGTAGCACAGTGTACCCAGAAACCGACGGAGAGACAACATCACAGAAAAAGAAACTTGTCATAACTCTAACATTGGCCACTACGGGGTTTGTAGTGGGTTACACGCCATATCTGTTGTATTTTTTGATATTTCGGTCAACAGGAAGTGAAAGAACCGAAGACTTGCTAGACGTAGTGGATTTTTTTTTCGTGTCCAGTTTAAGTCTAAACCCTTTTATTTATGGATTTCGTGGTAAAAAATTTCGAGAAGGGCGTACAAGAATGTTGTTATGCTGGAAACCTACAACACAGAACGATGCTTTTGAACTGAATAACTAATTGCTGCTCTTACTATTTACGTCATTTAACGGATTAGCTCTCTTTCTAAAAAAAAATATACTCTTGCATAATACTGTCAAGTCGCATCCAATTGTTAAGGACAGCTTTGCTTTTCTTTCTAGTTATGTGCAAAAAGTTATGTGAAATCTTTGAAAAAAAACTTAAGGAAATCTGCGTATGGTAAAAGTGCTTTTTAGGAGTTATGTATCTGTAATTTCTAGTTTTGGTCCGGCCTGTAATGTTTTGAAGTAGTAAAGAAGTTAAAAATGACTACAAAAAATAATAAAGAAATAAATAAAACGAAAAATGATGATAATAATAATAATGATAATAAAAATAATGATAGTAACATTTGGGGCGAGGCTTCACTGGAATAACAGATATAACTAACGATTGCGACTTATAAAGTTGCCACCACTTATAACTTTGCGATCGCCTGTGTTCACTAATGAACAGAGCGGTCTTGTAATAACAGCTTATAAGCCTTACTTACTTATGCCAGTAGCATTTATCAAAAACTCCTTTTTTACTAATTAAGGAAAAGAAAAGGAACAATTAAAGCATGTGTTTAAGACTTAGAATAAATTTGAGAAATGGCTGAAACATAGTGTTTTATACTCTTCCTTAATTAGACTTGAACAGCAGGAGCCGCCGCTTGACTTAAAAAAAGGCGCCGTTTCTTGTTTACTTGAAAGGCATCTACTCTGCGTGGGCGGCATTCGAGAGTTAAATTTGGCGAGGAAGAGATAGAATGGTACAGCGTATGAACACACACACAATAAATTGATCTTTGCCATTGCTCTATACCTAAAGAAAATGAAAAACGTGTTAGGAAACGTGTAATTTTCCAGGTGCAAGTTGCATTTACAAAGAAGACATTTATTCGAAAATCGAGATCCATTAGGATTTTGAAATGAGTTGTTTTCGGAACAGGAACTCGATAAACAGGTGCTGTCAAGAAAAATTATTAAGACTAACCTATTGGCTAAGCCAAACAGAGCTCTAGAATTGCATTATTCAATGATTCAGTTTCTAATACTTCGAGTTAGACTTTTTAGTATTTCCGAAGAGACTTTGGCCAAAGGTAACTGCAGTCTTTAAACTCAAAATACACGCCATCAATTAAGACAAAACCTAGAACGCTACTTAATAAGGAGACGCAATATGGATGAAATCTATAACCTGGCTTATACCTTATTCTATTCAAGCATCCCGTTCCTTGTCATTGGATTCATCGGAAATGTGTTGGTAGTACGAATTGTTCACAAAACACGGGAGATGCACACGCCCAAAAATTATCTTCTGGTGAGCATGGCCGCTAGTGATATTATTACCATTTTGTTGTGGCCGTTGTATTTCTTTGGAGTTTGGAAATTCGTTTGCAAGTTAGTTGAGCTCGTTGAACTTTGTACAACGGTTTCCTCCTTTACTATAACTGTACTAGCGGTGGAAAGATATCACGCCTTATTGAAGCCTTTAAGAAGTGGACTGCGCTTAAGAGAAGACAACGTGAAGAAGGCGATCGCTTGCATTTGGGTCGGAAGTATTCTTATATGTCTTCCGGAAACTTTCTTTAGAGAATGGAGCGAAACTCGTGAAACATGTATTGGTCCCTGGACTTTATACTTAAATCAAGGAAGCAAAGCTTGTATGGTCTTAAATGTAGTTGTATTTTTTATTCAACTCTCGATCATAATGTACTGCTATGGAACCTTGATAAGGGGACTTTACTTCACCGACACGGTGTGTGCAGAAACAGATGGAGAAAGGAGATCTGAGAAAAAGAAACTTGTTATCACGTTCATGTTGGTAACCATTGGATTTGTTGTGGGCTATACACCAGTTCTAGTTTCCTACGTAATCATTCCATCAGGAGAGGGAACAGCAGACGTCAGTTTTTACGCTCAACTTACGGCTGTGGCTGATTTTATATTCGTTGTAAGTTTATGTTTCAACCCTTTTATCTACGCTTTTCGCAGCACTAATTTTATAGAAGGATTTAAAATTGTAATTTTATGTAGAAATCCCCAAAGGCATTATGAAGTTGCACAGCGTAGCTACAAGTGATATTTTGAATTGTTAGTATATCGCTGAGATACCATTTCTTCGATGTAGAATTTTTAAGTGACATTTTGTTTTTACAAAAAGGCGATGCAGACAGATGTTTTGGTCAGATAATAGAACATGGGATGCACTTTTTCCTAAATTCAAGACAAGGTTTGACCCTTCTAGTTTCTTCCATACGTATGTAGAAGAATTGTATTAGCTGAATTTTTTATGTTTCTTTTGCTTACCCTTAGGAGTTAATTAGCATTTTAATACTGCTGAATTTGGCTTTCGAATGATCTGAAAAAAAAAATCGCACTTTGTAATACCTGTCGTCGTAAGTTGTAGTAAACTCTGTCACATTTTGAAATAAAAAAGCTGTCGAAGTTTGTTTTAACTGTCCATTGCACTTTGTAATAAACCACGTTGTCGTAATGTGTAATAATTCCATCGCAATAGTAATAAACTTTATTTATCATATATTCTCTTGCCATGAGATTCGTTTTAATGACTTTGAACTCTGTCAAGACAAGAAAATAAACGTCTTCAGATGTTTGCGTGTTTTAGTGTATTGTTACTAGCGGAGCTCTCGCGCGCGCGAAGCGCGTGCCAGCGGAGGACATGGGTAGGTAAATCTACCTATCCCAGAAAATTTGCTAATCACGTGACCATACACCGACCGCCCGAAGAAACGACCGTCCGTCCGCACCACAGGTATACCAATGTAAAATGAGTCAATCAAAAGGAATGACAACCCAAATGCAACTCGAGGTTATTTTGGCGGGAAATCGCATTGTAAAGCAGAGACAACTAAAGGCCGTAAAGGGTCAATAAAGACGAAAACGGAAAGCGGAAATTGTTTCTGCATTCATGTTGTCTAAAGTATGATTAAGCTTAGATTAATTGTCATGTCCACAAATTTGGAATATAGAGTAAGAGAAAGACAAAGAGAAAGAGAAAGTAGCGAAGTAGCGAAGCTCAACGATAAGGGCGACAGAGATGTAGAGCGAGAGATAAAAAAACAAAGGAGACATTTTTTTGTTGGAAGAATAACATGAAAATTTTGTAGCGGCGGTGACAAAATGAGAAATGATAGCGGCCACCAATGCAAGGGGGAGTAAGAAAGAGAAGAAGGGAAACGCCCGCTACAAAAGCCGCGTCTTTTACATTTTGCCCCTTATTTCAATTATCCCAGCTGTCACTTCAACGTCCAATCAGAAACAGGCGCGCGCTTTTTGCATGACTGACCTCACGTGGGGATGCGTCGCCAAAGGCGGTTTCGTAGCTGTAGAACATGAGAAAATAGGGAGTTTAAGATACGGCGACTACGGACTACGACTACGGTTAAACATGCTACTGCGCATGATCAAAACCACGTCACTGTTTTTCCCGCGTAGTCCTGCGGCTACGGTGAGTTGTTGAGCTGTGTCGCGTAGTCGGGACTATGGAGAACATTTTGCTCGTATTTTGCCGTCTCGGTAATTCAAGAATCTCGTCTTTTCGTTAAAAAAGTTTTCAATTTACCTGCTTTAAGTGAGAGGGAAGCGAAATATGTAAGTTGTGTCTAATTTCTGCTCAGATTTACGCTTTTAACCCACTGTTGTGACCTCATTTTTATCTAGCAAAGCTCATATTTGATTAAGCTTAGCTGTTTATACGCAGAATTCCGATTGATGGCCGAGGAGAAGAGAAATCATGCAGGTAATTTACTTTCTCTTCGCACTTGAAAAGTTTCAATGTTTGTTCGAACTGATTATTGTGTCTTTCTACTTGTGTAACCCTTTGTTTATGCGAGTTTTTTGCATCGCATTTGCTGAATGAAAATGATGTAAACATCTTCGAGATAATCGAAACTCGCCATTTCAATACTTCAAATTAAATCAGATCAGTAGTAGGAGAAGTCCATCTTCTAAATCTAATAAATGAGCTATTACTATTTCTGTCTATTTATTTAATATTTGACATAAGAATTCATGGGCAAAAAAATAAAACCTGTGTAACCAAAACTTTGTTTACCAATTTCACCCGACGTAATTGCTTCCCTCAAGTAAGGAAGAATTTGTTCACTGTTCTAAAGATAAGATCACATGCAAAACTGACTTGCATTTTTGTGAACTGTGATGAAAACAAGAAAATCTTTGCGTGTTGTTTCCCTCGCCGCCTCTTCTCTCGTAGTCTACTGTCCGTAGTGCAATCTTAACGTTCTATATTTGCACGACTCAGCCCAGTGCTACGAACAAAAGACAACGCTCGCCCAGCCGTAGTTCGTAGTCCGTAGCCTCCGTATCTTAAACTCCCTAATCTTCGCAACAGGTACCGGCGCCGCGACTCCCACAAAAATTTGTACCCTGTAAACGTTGAAAAAAACAGCAGTTGTAGTTTTTTGTGGAGTTAACTTTACTTCTGGGGGAGAACGAGCCTCATTTGAAAATTTATTTTTGTCGTCGGGAAGAGTTGAAAATGCGGGGCTGATTTTAGCTCAATGTTGCGGCTCTATTGGGTTGCGATTAACCACAAACAAAAACTTGTCAGACCGGGTCTGCAGATCTTGTGGTCGCAAAATTACAAACGAAGCTGAACTGTACAGTTTCATCGAGAAAGCTGTAAGCAACACTAATATCGAGGAAGATTTACATTGAGAGGCTGTGGAAGATCGAAGCAAAAGACAGCTTCCCACCACTATCACGCCAGAAAGAAGCGATGTATTAGAAAGAAACGTCTTGAATCTGACCGTGAACAGCTGAAAGAAAAAAGTCCTGGAGAGGTTAATTCTAGAAAGATCTTGTTTGCAGAAAGCTTGACAGTGAGTGACTCGTCGGACGAAGAATCGGGAATTGCTGATATTGAAACATTTAATACTGACACAGACGACTGAGCAAGTAACACTTACACTCGCTGGACAAGATGGCGATATTTTGCCGGCACAAATATGGCCAAACACGGCCGCCGGAAACCAACAGTGTAGTAACCAATCCCCCGCCTAGTCCCAGTCCGCGTGTTTACGTATAAGTAATTCGACTTTCGCGCGGGTTATGAAAATCGTAAAGTATCTTGCTCGAGTTCGCTAGCTGTTACAACTACGTTACGTTCTTTATCTTACTTCGTTCGCCGTATTCCCAAATCGTCAGGTAATGTCCTCTGTCTTCGTTTATCTCGTATTTCCTATGTTATCTGTATTTCCTACGTTATTTCCATTGTTGTAAATTAGTCGTTCCGCTCTTAATGTATTATGTTTGTTACTTTGTTCTAGAAACCACTGGCAACATCATGTAAATAAGGTTAAGAGTTCGAGTTATTCCAGTTGAATTAAAACTCTTTTACGACTTATATTATTGCTGGTGCGTTGCCTACAAACAGGAACATTTGTTTTTGAGTTTTCTCACTAATGCGTGAATTCTTCGCTTGAGGAACTCATAAAGATTAATTAGTACTGTTTTTTGGTCCTACTTTTAAAATACAGAATTGAAAATTATCGTGTTTGCGTTGGTTAAGAGTGATAAAAATCTCTTGAATTAACAGTATCGAGCCGATTTTAGCATTCTTTAAGAAAGTGCAACATGACTTTTTTTCTTAGTATTAATTCGAAAAAAGCCTTTGAGAAAAAGACATTAAGAAGTGGAGTAGCAGTGGTAATGCATTACAGAATGAATTGGTAAAGAACATGACAGCTTTTTAAAGCAGTCAAGTCTGCTAAATCTTTGAAAGATGTTAACGCAGTACGAAATTCCACCAAGAAAAATCAGTGGTGGCAAGTCAGCTTTGTTTCAAAATTAAAACAATGCATGCGTTTCCTTAGCCCTTTCAAGTGGATAAATATAATTATAGGGCAAAGCAGACTTAGTTACACTATATGATCTTTGGGCCCAAATAACACAAACAACCGATACCACAATTTTACTTCACTAACTCTTAGTACTAGGTATTTATCAGGGGGTAGAGTCTGCTACAATCCCCTTTTAACCCTTTCAGCCCTAAGAGTGATCAGCGTCAAATTTCTCCTTGAAATATCAATGCTTTATAAAACAGAGTGGTAATGAGAATTACGGACATGATCACCCAAGATGAATTTGCTTGACATTTTATCATTTTCTCCCCACAACTACCGTAGGAAATGAATAGGGGCAACAAATGAGAATTCATATTTTGATCTTAGGGTTTTTAAGGATTAAACCTTTTCAAATTCGTGGGGTGTGAAAATAACCCCCTTTTTCCGGCTTTTGCTAACAGTCTTAATTACCACTGTTTTAAGGTTAAAATGTTTTATTGCGGTCACCGCTTATATTATTCCTTGTATCTTTAAGCGAGCGCTCAACAATAAAACTCCGCTTTTGTGTTAACCATTCCACCAACGTCAACGCAACTGTTATGAAAATAATTACCAGCCTTTTAAATATTAATTGCAAAGTCTATCAATGCCTATCACGATCTACCCACAAAGAAACTGGAAACGTGATAAGAGCTCATGTTGATGTATGAGTGAGTTTGTCCGCGTTCAACAAACTTTGTCGTATTGACCAACTTCAGGCCTAAGTATGAACCAGACCGAAAACGTCCCTTTTTACGCGGGGATCCCGTTTCTTATTATTGGATTGATTGGAAATCTTTTGGTCATACAAACTGTGCATAAGATACCAGAAATGCACACCCCCCCAAAATTATCTTCTGGTGAGTATGGCTATTAGTGATGTCGTCACCATATTGCTATGGCCACTTTACTACTTTCAATCCGCAAAGGTCGCTTGCGAGTTTGTTGCTCTTGCGGAAGTGAGCATCATGGCTTCCTCCAATACCCTTACTGTGCTGGCGGTGAAAAGATACCACGCGATTCTGAAGCCATTCGAAACAGGACTGCGGTTAAATGAAGATAACATCAAGCGAGCAATAGCTTGTATTTGGATCGCAAGTTTCGTTATACGTTTTCCGGAATTCTTTCTAAAAGAATGAAGCGAGACAAACTCTTCATGTATCGGTCCCATAACCGTGCAGTTAAATGAAGCAAGCAAAATTTATGTTATCATAAATCTCACAATCAATTGTCTTCAAACGGTGGTTATGTTTTTCTGCTATGGGTGCGTGATTAAGGGACTTTACTTTAGTAGCATAGTGTACCCAGAAACCGACAGAGAGACAACACCAGAGAAAAAGAAACTTAATGTCATAACTCTAACCTTGGTCACTACAGGGCTTTTAGTGGGTTACACGCCACATCTGTTGTATTTTTGTGCATTTCTATTAACAGGAAAACATAGAACTGAAGACTTTCTACACGTAGCGAATTTTTTTTCGTGTCCAGTTTAAGTCTAAACCCTATTATTTATTGATTTCGTGTTAAAAAATTTCGAGAAGGGCTTAAAATGCATTATTTGTCTTCAAATAAAATTTTATGCGACAATTTAGCCTTACATAGTTTATGAATACAGTAATGTGGAAAGAGGCTAGGAACATGGAATCGAGGGTACTGATTTGAATTTTGAATTCAAGATGGCGTCTTTAGGTAATGTCGTATTTATTGATCGTCGTATAATGGATGTCGCGTTCTTGATCTCGTTGACGCACAAAAATTTTTCCTCAGTGTCAGAACAGGTGAGTTTTCTCTCTCTTTATTGTGATAATTTAGTTGTTCAGTTTGTCTGGTTCATAGTTTATTCGCATCGATGGCCGTCATTTGCAACTCATTTTCACCTTCCAATTGGCTTTTAATGACTTTTAACCAATTTCAACAACATTTCTGGCTGGTGCCGCATCGTTTCGGTTTTTGTACATACGAGCGATCTGACCTTTCAATTAATTATTTCTTTCAGTCCAAAATGGCTTTGTGTGTCCCGAAAGTAATGATACTTGGTCATTCTTTCGTTCGACGCCTCAGTGGTGACTTGGAGAATCATTTTGACGATCGTGCCAAAAGCAACTTCGACCTCGAAGGTGTTAAGGTCCGTTTATTTGGTATTGGCGGAAGGACGGTTAAGAAAATTAAGCAATTTGACGTAGCGAATGTCTCCCGCTTTGCACCAGATGTTGTAATATTAGAAATAGGTACCAATGACCTTTGTAATGAACCACCCGAAACGGTTGGTTCTCAGATTGACGAATTAGTCGAGTTGTTGTTGAACCATTTTTCTGTTAGGGTGGTTGGAGTTTGTCTGGTGATTAAGCGAGCTGAGCCAATGTTTAATACGAAGGTAGAAGTGTTAAATCGTTATTTAAGTGTCGTCATCGACCGCCCTAGAGTGTTTGTATGGCGACATAAGATTTTGGACTCTCCAAGCCATGATTTCCTGTTGGAGGACGGAGTTCACTTGAATCCTCGTGGCCAGTATTTACTTTACAGAAGTTACCGAGGTGCAATTTTAAAGGCTGTGAACATTTTGAATAAGTTTGAGTGAATAATGCTCGGGGCAAATACATTGTGTTGCCAATTCTCCGCTTCATTTTGTAGGGTTTATGTTGTTGGCAATATCGATATTATCCAAATCGATATAAAAGCAATTATTAATTTTAGCTGAAAACCCAAATCGAATGTGAGCTTATGGTCATTTCGATGTGAATAAAACTATGATTGTATTTTCAGTCATAAATTACAAGCTGACGTATGTTGTTACAAAAACATCCATTCTTGTTAGGTGTATGTTCATGTTGTTATGTCCTGTTTTGTCATTTAATTATGTGTTTGAGCCATGCTGTGCATGGATTTTTGACCAATCAACGTTGTTGGTCTTTTCACTTCTGTCCAACCAGAGGTTGTTGGAATGTTCTTGTTTAATTATGTTTTTGTGACATGCTTCGGCATGGATTTGTGACCAACGTATGGTTTTGGTCTTTCTGTTTTTGTCCAACCAGAGGTTGTTGGAAGGTTTTTGTGGCATTATAGGGAAAGGCATTTTTATGTGTTTCGGCGACATGTGTAGTCTGCCAAGCCATCCCTGCCATAGTTCATGTACATGTTCATGTTGTGAAGTCCTGTTTTTGTATAATGTGATGCATGTTTTTTGACCAAGCTACAGGTTTGGTCTTTTTGCTTTTGTCCAACCAGAGGTTGTTGGAATGTTTTTATGGCATTTATAGGGACAGGCATTTTATATGTTCCGGCAACATGTGTAGTTTGCCAAGCCATCCCGGCCATAGTTCACGTATAAGTTCATGTTGTGATGTCCTGTTACATTGTTTAATTTTGGGTTTGTACTGTGAAGTGTATGGTTTTTTGTCCAAGCTAGAGGTTTGGTACTATATAATTTTTTCCAACCAAAGGCTGTTGGAAGGTTTTCCTTTATGGTACTATAAAAAAAGACATGTTATATATTTCAGATATATGTGAAATTGGCGGTTAGGCCATGTTTATCTCGAAGTTGTTGTTCTTGATCATGTTGAGATCTTCTTCAGTCATTTAGATGGAGCAAATTTAATAATTAGACTCCTTGATTAATGTTGTTGATGCATGTTGTTTTTTTATTCATATCATACCTATGGGCATTCACTTTACGTGTATCATTGGGCATTTGCTGAAATTTATAATCTGGATTGGTTCTTTTTGGGCATAATGACCTCATCAGCAATGGAAAAGCTTGCTATATGTTACTAGCTTACATGTATACTGGTGTTGAGTTATTTTACGTTTCAGGATGTCTCGCCGGGTATCAGCTAGAGTGAAGAGAAAAACTACTATCTTGCAAGAGTCCGAGCAACAGCCAGCTAGTCGCCGTAGACGGGTTGAGGAGAATGGAGAACAAGCAGATCAGCTTCCAGGCCCAGCAAGTCTTCCGTATGCTGGCGTTGACGACTTGATTGAGAGGGTGACAAATGCAGTATTACAAAAATTACAAAATACACAATTCAATGATAATACAGGTACTGGAAATGTTTCATTGCCTGGAACAGCCTCAGCTTTACAGGGGTCAGTTGTCGCTGAACCAGTCATCAATGAGTTAAGTGGTTCTCAGGTTAATACTTCTGAAATTTTAAATAGCTCAGATCAGGCTAGCACAGCAGCCGCAACTGTACAGGGGTCGATTGCGACTGTGTTGGATAGCTTGTCAGGAGGCACCAGTTTAATGTCTAAGCCAAAAGATATTTTTGTGTCATCTGACATCCCCATTGACATGTCAGTCTCTGATAGGCTAAAAAGAAAAATATGGGCCCATGAATATGTCGATTTTGGATTGCTCTTAAATAATAAGAAAGACCATGACAGTTTCCATCTATGCCTTTCAAATGACATGGCATCATCAAATGACCAGCCACGCATCGTATTGGAGCCAAAGCAAAAGTCAAAACATATCAATTCAATTGAAATGTGGGTCACAGCCTACCAAATCTTTGTGGGTGTCTACACACAGAGATATCCTGTTGAAGCCCCCTTTTTAGTGAAGTATAGTGAAATTATTAGGGATTTGGCAGCAAGAGGATATAACTGGCGATATTATGACGAGAACTTTCGATATCTCCGACAAAAGGACCCCAAAGCATATTCTTGGGGTGCAGTGCATTGGGAGTTGTGGATTAGATCGCAGCCATCCAGAAATAATTATTCACAGATAAAGAGATTTGAGGGTGAATCAAAGTCAGGCTTTCGAGTTCCCAAAGGTTATTGCTGGAAGTACCATAAAGGCTTAAAATGTGTTGGATGTAATTTCAAGCATTCATGCCCATTACGTCAAAAGACTCATCAAATGATTAATTGCCATAATTTTCGTAACTTCACTGGAAAACCTGTTGCTGCCAATCCTACCGCTCCCAACACCAGTAAAGGTAAACCGACTTGAGTTTTTGCTAGAAGGGTACAACTTTCAAAAGCGAATGTTTTTAATTGATGGATTTAAGTATGGATTTCATCTCTTTTCTGTTGGTCAAAGTAGATCTTATGAATCTCCTAATTTGTTATCTGCACGACAACAGCCCCAAGTAGTTGATCAAAAATTAGCTAAGGAGCTGGAAGCCCATAGGTTGGCTGGACCATTTGATTCACCACCCTTTCCTGTTTTCAGAGTGTCACCCCTGGGTATTGTTCCAAAGAAAACCCCAGGGGAATTTCGTCTGATTCATCATCTTTCATATCCCATGGGTAAATCAGTAAATGATGGAATATCCCATGAACATTCCAGTGTTCAATATGCTAATATTGACCATGCTATTAAAAAGATAAAACAATCAGGTGTCGGTTCTTATTTGGCTAAAACCGATATTAAAAGTGCTTTCAGGATTTTACCCATTAATCCTCAAGATTATCATCTTTTAGGCATAAAGTGGAGTGGTCAATATTATTATGATAAATGCATGCCTATGGGATGCTCCAGCTCCTGTAAAACCTTTGAAACTTTTAGTACAGCTGTTGAGTGGATTGCACAGGATAAGCTTGGTATAGCTAACCTTATTCACTTGCTAGACGATTTTCTCCTCATTCAGACAACAGAAAGTCAGTGTTCAAGAAGTCTTAGACTCTTCTTAGAATTATGTGATTTTTTAGGCATTCCCATGGCACCTGAAAAAACATTTGGCCCATCTACAATTTTGACATTTGCAGGTGTGGAACTAGACACTATCCGTTGTGAATCACGCTTACCGGAAGAAAAATTATTGAAATGTAAACAATTGATTGCTGAATTTATCAAAAAGAAGAAGGCAACATTGAGAGAGTTGCAGTCGCTTACCGGGGTACTAAATTTCGCTTGTTCAGTTGTTGTTCCAGGCCGTTGCTTTTTAAGACGGCTTATTGACTTGACAATTGGCCTCAAAAGACCAGGTCATTTTGTTCGTGTTTCCAAGGAGGTGAAGGCTGATTTGTTTACTTGGCAACAGTTTTTTCAAGATTACAATGGTAAATCATTTTTCCTTAATGAGACATGGGAAAATAGCTTGAGCCTACAGTTATTTACTGATGCAGCAGGGGCGCACGGTTTTGGAGCTGTATTTGGTTCTCACTGGTGCTATGGCGAATGGCCTAAGGAATGGTTGGGTCAGAATATTGCAATTCTGGAATTTTACCCAATTGTTCTGAGTTTAATGTTGTGGGGGGACCATATTAGGGACAGGTGTATTACATTCTTTACTGATAATGAGGCATTAGTACATGTGATAAATAAGTCTACCTGTAGAGATACTTCTTTAATGATTTTTGTTCGTAAACTTGTGCTAGTTTGTTTGAGGCACAATATTTTGTTTAAAGCCAAGCATATTTCGGGTTTTAAGAACACTCTTGCGGATGCACTGTCTCGTTTGCAGATCGAACGTTTCAAGAAACTAGCACCAGCTTACATGGATCCCATGCAAACAGCAATCCCATCCCATCTACTCCCGGCAAACTGGCATCTATAGTTCATGATCTTCTATCTGCTAGTTTACAGAAGTCTTCAGTACCAACGTACCGTAGGGCATGGAAGCTTTATGAAGAATTTCAAATAAGTGTTTTACAGAGCTCACACATTTCATTACCAGTGTTGCCGGCCACATTGGCATTGTTTGTTGCACATTTATTTGATCGTAGATATGCTTCCTCCACAGTAAATACTTATGTTTCTGCCCTTGGGTATTTCCATCGCTTGGCGGGTCTACGGGATACTACCAAAACTTTTTACATTATTGAGATGCTTAAAGGGTATGGTAAGATTGGTCACAAACTGGACTCAAGGTTGCCTATTACCCTTCCCATTTTAGTTCGCATCATGAAAGGTTTAGATATTTTTTGTGTTTCTCAATATGATTTATTTATGTTT